AACATCTGGGGATGGAAGCCTCTTTCTCTCTGTTACTCTGCCTTTAAATAAAAACAGATTTCATCTCAATCTCAGCAGAAGTCCTTTTGTACAAGGTAAAATTCTCAGACACTCAGAAAAATGACAACTTTATCAAGTTTTATTAAATGAATTATGTTAAAGATTTTTCTTTTAAAAGATTCGTAGTTTCATATCTTACCTATAATTCTTCGATGCAATTTTAGTCAATCCCTTTTTAAGGCTACATGTTTTTCACAGTTTCACTAAATATTAGTTGTACTATATATATATATTTTATGTGCTGCCAAAGCAAGCACAGTTACACTATTCTTGTGTCTAGGAGAAAATATCTAAGGACTAAAATCTAGTCTGACTTAAGCAAATCTATAAACATTTGGCTTTTTGTTAACCAAATAAGGTTGGTTTATGTTCTTAGAGACTCAACCTAAATTTAACTTTCGTTAACCATGACGGCCTCTCTGTATATGTTTGACATGAGTGTCCTAATACTTAGTGGGTCTTTGTGGACTTGAAGGACAGTGTTTGAGCTCCACTCCCCTGTCTACCATCTCCTACAATCATGATTTGTCATCCACACATATGGACCAATTTCTCTTTTATAGATGAAAAGATCAGATGTTCAGAAGAAATCAGTGCATTTTTGCATGATTGAATGTAAAGTTGGAGGCAAAGCTGCTCTGGAACCAAGGTGTCTAGATTTCTAGTTCAAAGACACGTGGCCCATTATCGTGTTATGGTTGTTTAAATGGCCATTGGCTGCCAGAAGTGAGACACCATCACAGTAACTATCATCTAGAACATGCCTTAATACTTTGTAGCTTTCTGAAAGCATGGGCCATACAATTTCTACTGTTTACAACCCTGATTTTACCACTTACAGTTGTTTGTCCTCACATTATAAATGGAGCAGTTAAAGAATAAGTGCCTATTGGACTAATGCGACTTCCTTGGACAAGGAAACATTTTAGAGTGATCTGTTTTGTTTTGTTTTGTTTTACAAATTTGCATTGAGAAATACCTAGGAGAGTATTAGATGAATACAATAAGCTATAGAGGAAAAAGCACAGTGTTTGACATCAGAAAAATTACTTTGAAACTCTGGTTGAGCCAGTTAGTTCCAGAGTGACCTGGGGAAAATCAACATTTTTATATCATTTTTATAACATTTGTTATAATAATAATACTGTGCCTCTCATAAGCTAGATGCATGGATTGAATAAAATAATGTGTGAGAGCTAGGAAAAGCTGACATATTTCTGAGATTCAAGAAGGGTTAAGAAAATTAAACTCATAATTAAATGCTAGTTAACTATGTTTCTTTGTTAAATCCAGATTTATGCTGCAATAATAGAGATATTGTTCACACAGTCTGACTCCAACAAAAGTCAAAGAACCAAACATCTTATCCAGAAAAGTCATTATAAACACAGTTTATGTTTGCAGCTAAACATGTGAAGGAACCCATGTGAATAGCTTTCTTTTTCTTAAAGATTTATTTTTATTTGAGTGGCAGAGTTTACCAAGAAAAAGGGAAAGAGAGAGAGGCAGAGAGAGAGAGAGAGAGAGAGAGAAAACTCCCATCTTCTGGTTCACTCCCCACTCCCCAAATAACTGCAACTTTCCGAGCTGAGTTGATCCAAAGTTGGGAGCTAGGAGCGTCTTTCTGGATATCCTACATGGGTGCAGGGTCCCAAGGACTTGATCCATCCTCTGTTGCTTTCCCATGTCATAAAGAAGGAGCTAGATCAGAAGTGGAGCAGTCAGGACATGAACCGGTGCCACAGGCAGAGGATTAGCTTGTTACATCTTTCTTCAGAGTGGTATTTCTTTAAGCTATGTCCTATAAATGGAAATCTGAGTTTTCACATTTTTCATGAAAGCTCTTTCTTTTTCTATTGCCGAAAATTATTTTTATTATTATAACCACTTCTGGTGGTATAGATCCCGCAAAGTTCTTAGGATTTGGGGGCGGGTAGATCAGAAGGAGGAGCAAGGTCAACTTATACAAGCTTAAACATTGTGTCTCAAAGGGGAATTTATCTAGGATCATCCCTATAAATGTCTCTTGTTTCCTTTTCTTCAAAACATTCCAGACCACAGCTTCCTGCTTTGCTCTCCCATTTTAATCCCTGGCTTGGCATCACATCATGCTCCTGGCACAGCATGAATGACTTCTCTCATTGCTCCACACCCCAGGGCTTGGGATCTGTCATCTGTGGCTGTCACTGCAGAGATGCGAATGAAAGCTCCTTTCAGGTGATTGAAGTCAACTGGACATTGACTGGCCCTGGCCCAGCAGGCGTGCAAATGCATCACCCTTGAAAATAAATACTCTTCTACTTTTCTTGACATTCACAGCTGCACTCCCACCTTTTCGCTCTGAGAACTGTACAGATCATCTCAGTTTTGCTTCTTTTTAGCCATCCCTGCCTCCCAAATCATGCAGTCGAGATTTACCACTTCATGGAGTTCTTAAGAATTCTAAAATAGGAGAGATTTAACTTTTATCAATATGACTATGGTGTAAGCAAAGTTTGGCAGTATCCCATGCTGAGGTCAGGGCTGCTGTGGGGAAAATGTAGGGGAATACCAAACACAGCTTTGACCACTGAAGACCATCATCCTGTGCCAAAGACTGAAGAGCAAGGAGACATCCAGGTGAGAGAAAGAAGGAAGTACTCTAGATGGGAGTGGAATTGCAATGGAGTGGATTTAGAAAGTGCCAAGTGTTGGGCACATCAGCAGCCTTTAATCACTTGTGTAGCCTGATGATCCTGTGAATGGCAGCATAGCATGAAGCATTCTTATGGACTTATGGTACCGATCCTCACCATGCTCCTTATGAGCTTTGTCATTACAGGATGTTTATTTTTACCTCTGTGTTTCAGTCTTTTCATCTATAAAGTAGGATGCGGAATAATACTTATTTCTAGGATTGCAGTAAGGACTAAATGGATTACCATATGTAAAGCTGCTGGCTCATAATCATCTGATTAAAGGCATGTTTTTTATTACCCCGAGGTTACAGTTCCCAAGAGTATTTACTAGTCTCATGTCTTAGAAGGTCATTCACATGCTTTCAAGCCTCCAACTCTAGCTTATTTCTTCATTGTGAAATAATGTATTTTATTTTACTGAGAAGTTAGAAGTAAGTGAGGGAGAAGTCGCTCCATCCTGAGTCAAGTCATACCTCGGCTACACTCTTCTGGTTGGAACCCCTCTTGCTACCTCAGATGCACTCTCTGCTTCTATCCAAGACCAGCCACCACCTCCACTTTAGCCTGAGTCCTTCAACTCTTTCAGTGCACCAGTGACTCACTGGGTGGTTCCCACCATCAACTCCTCATGCCGCAGGAGCCTTCCTTGACCCACCAAGCTCCTGTGAACTGCCCATTTTCCATCTTCAGTGGAAAACACCTACATCAGTGTCTCCATATCCTTATTTCACATTTTCCTTTAAGTGCATTCATATCATGCTTTTTTCTACTCCATAAAAACTGCTCTTACGAGTAGTACCGATGACCAAAGCCATGGCAATTCCCCAGTCCTTGTTTTATCAGATATAACAGTAATAACAGTGATGCTCATGTATCCTCTGCTTGAAATATTTCTCTTGTTTTGCGTCTAGGCTCCCACATTTTCATTTTTCTCTTATTTTCTCCTGTGCCACTACCCCTCAGACTCTTGCAGTTTCTTCTATATTCTTGACCTGCACATTTTAAAGAGTGTAAAGCTCCAAAACTTGTCCTCCTTTTGTCTCTGCTCGCAGTGCCTCCATTGATGATCTTACCCATTGGCAGGTGTTAAATGACATCTCTTCCCTGATTTATGTCTGTATTTTTGTCTTTCTCCTCCTGATGTCCACATTGCTCATTCTATTACTTCTTGTAGATTTCAGCTTGAATTTCCTTCAGCAGAGAACCCTTCCTAGGTATTCCGTACTTCATTATTTTGTATCCTGTTACTCCCCTTTTTACTTTTCTGCATAGCACTTTTCCTCCTAAATGTGTTTATTTGTATATTCAAAGCCTTTTGAGAATAGGAACATTATCCACCTCAAGGAGTGATTTGTAAGTATAGAAGCAACCAGTATATATTTATTGAATAAAAGCATGATCTCACTTGATACTCCAATCTGACCAGAAGGGTTATTACAGATGAAGGAGCAGACTGAGATTAACATACTGACACAGGTCTGGCAATTCAGATAGTAATACTCCAGGGTGTGCACCTACCTAACAAGGTACTAAAGCCAGAGGGCACAGTGGTGTCCTTCTCAGAAGAGTCAGGAATTCATCTTGAGTGGGAGTGGCAGGAAGATGGGGAGTGACATGCCGTTGGTACATTTCTGACTTCATACAAAATATGCGTATAATCTGGATCACTAAATCAAGTTATATTAAAAGATATGTATGGGCTTCTTTGAAAAATTTTGGCTGGAGTTTGTGTGTGTGTGTGTGTGTGTGTGTGTGTGTATTCTGCTACCATCAAACTGGCTTATGGTGACAATACTGAATCGGATTTAGTCAAGAGCTTCAAATCAACTTTACCTTGAGGCCTGTGAAATTGAAATCCTCTTGCTGTTTCCATAGTAGCCTGGTAGCTCACATAATTCCTAAAGAAGCTTATATGTTAATGCCCAAGAACCATTTACAGTGCTCATACTCTGCTGGCTGTAAATGCCATGACTTAAGCTAGATGGACTGGCAAAATACTACATCATTTAAAGAGCATATTGCAGTTCAAACTACAGTCAAAAGAGCATCTGGTTTTCTTTAAATCTAATTAAGTTTTGACAGTAACTAATTAAACATTTGACTTCTCATGTCTGATGCTGTGTGGAATCTGATTTGGGTATGTTTTAGATAGGCGTGTAAGAGGCAAGAGATGCTTTTATGTAGGTAATGAATGCCTTTGGTTAGTAGATGTAAAACACTGTGCTTCCAAGGTGGAATAAATGTCTGCTTTCTGTTTTAAAGGGAACCAGCTGTTCACCCTCCAATACCACCAAAGCCCAGTACTCCTGTTTCTTCTCCCAATCAACAGAGACCAGATAATAGGTAAGACCTAGTACTTCAGAGTTCCTTGCAAAACAGCAGCTCAAGGGACATGAGAATAAAGGAATTGTGATCTACTTTGTGCCAAGTATGGAACTGTCTTCATGCATGTTCTCTGTGAAAGCACTTGTGGAGTTGTTTCCACTTCCATCTTCCAATCTGTATGTATACATAGGTTTTTGTCTTTGGATACTGGTGGCTAGTACTTGTCTTGTGGAAGTACATCTTCAGCACAGAAAGAGAAGAACACATTCAAAGAAGAAGTTATGCCCAAGCCTCTTACATACACTTGCTCCTAATATATAGTTATGTATTTATATGTAAATTTAAATCATACCAAATAATATAGACATTTCATTTGTATTTTACAATTGGTGAAATTTTCTACTAAGAGCTACATATTCTGATGAAAGATGTTCTTGAAAATTTGTGTTACCACTCCAGTCCTCATGTACGTTAGAGAACCCATTAGGTAGTTCTTTTCATTTTTCTAAGTCTTATTTAAAAACAGTGGACATATTTCATGTATTTCGCAATACTGATTTAGGAGCAGCCTACCCTCCATTGTTCCTACATTCCCTACCCACCCTCCTTTTTCTTTTTCTTTTTAAAAATTTTTACAGTCAGTTATTTTCATTTCACTTAACACTTCATACGGTAAAGGTCAACAAATAACAAGTGAAAAAATCCCCACCATTCCTCATGAATATAGACACAGGCTGGAAACAATAGCCAAATTTCAAATCTGGAAACATTTTTTTTTTTTAGTTTGTATCTGAATCATGGAAAATAGACTTGCTTTTTAAAGATTTACTTATTTATTTGAAAGGAAGTTGTAAGAGGGGGCAGAGAGAGAGAAAGAAAGAGAGAGAGAAGAAATAGGAGAGAGAGCCCTTTCATCCACTGGTCTACTCCCTAAATGACCACAATGGCAAGGCTGGGCTAGCTGTAGCTAGGTACTTCTTCTTGATCTTATATATGAGTAGCAGAGGCACAAGCACTTAGTCCATCTGGTGCTCTGCTTCCCCCTTTCCCAGGCCATTACCAGGGAACAGAATGAGACATGGATTAGCCAAGTCTCAAACCACTGCTCCTTTGGGGTGCTGGCATACTAGACTACAATTTAAACCATCTTACCACAACACCAGCCCTGTTTCCCTACTTTAAATCTCTGTCCCACTCGTCCCTCAGAAACAAAAATAGTCCCATATATTCCTGTTAAACAGTCTAACCCATTTTTCAAGATGTGCATTCCACATTTTCATTATTGTGAGACTTAAAAAATGACATCTCCATGAAGACTGCTTATATTAGATCTACTTGATTGTCTATGTTTAATTCTTTTGTAGTTTTGCCTTTTGATAGTGATTTTTTTTCCACACTAGATATAATTATAGAACTATTCTGAAGTAAGACACAATTATAGAAGTATTCTTCAGTAACAGAGTTACCAACTAAGAATTGCTTATGGGCTGCCAGGTTATGTGGTAATAGATAATAAAATCTGTTGGGTAAAACTCAAATTAGAAATCATCTCTGTTGAAACTCCAAGTCCAAATTTCTATGTACTGAAGTCTTTGAAGTTTTGTCATTAGGATGAAAATATGATGTTTTAATGATTCAAGAAAATATACTAATTGAAAATGCAAATCTAATTTATACCTTTTATTTGTGTGATGCTTATAGATTATCTCTTAAAAATAACTTTTCAATAAAATACAGGATAATGACTTCTCAAGATTTTTATCACATATGTTTTCCCTTTTATTCCTTCAGTATTGAACAAAATAAATCTTAATTTGAATAGATTATTTTAGGGATGGTTAACTGATTTAGTTTTGTCCCACCTAAATTGTGATTACAATGTGATAGCAGAGAGCTTGTTTATATTTAAAAAATTAAATTTCACAAGAATTGTTCTGGTCCATTTTTACTACTCTAATTTCTCTCTTCAATTCATCATCTGAAAAATAAAATTGGGACAACTTGTATGTTTTTTAAACCCTTATTACTTTAATCACAGCAAGATGATTTTAATGAAAGAATATGAAAGGGAAGTCTTTCCTATGTAATTAACACATGTCCTCAGGAGGACAAAAAATAGTTGAATGTAGCTTTTTGGAACAAGCAAGAACGTATAAGTAGGTCAACCAGACTCTTAGAGAAAGAGCAGAGAAAAGCCTTATGTCATAAACCTAATCTAAACTTTAGTTCTGTCTACTCAATGTGGGCATTCTCAATGTGATGGATGTACTACAAATTTACTTTCCACCGTATCTGAGCAAATATTATGTCTTGATAATGTGCAAATGGGATAAGACATTAAAAAATGAACTCCTTGATGTCTAACAACAAAGTTTCTCAATGTTTTAAAATGCAATATCAGTAACTAAAATAGAAAAGCATAACAATGGCTTGTTGATAAATAGAAATCAAGAAAATGAACACGAACAGTTTTAGAGATGTTTCTTGGTACATTGATTGAAAGCATAAAAACAGATAGATTAAATTACAAAATTAATATATTGGTTTCTTTGGGATTACTTTAAATAGGGGTTAAGTTCTTGCCAACCCAAAGCTAAGGTAAAATTCATTAACTCAAGAAATAGTGCAGTTCTGATACACGTTGACATTTTTGATAATAGCTATTTTCTTATAAAGTGAAGTTTAAAACAGATATGTTTTCTTACCTAACAATGCTGTCTTTAACCTTAAATGTGTAGGCAGACATATCCACCTAAACTGGTTGTCTCTGCAGAAAGCAATAGATCTTCTGAAAAAATTATAAGGTATGATGATTTTTATTTATATTATATCAATGGTACCATCTGCTTTCTTAGAATACTTTTTTTTGTTTTTTAGAATACTTTAAATGAAATAGATAAAATATATATTCCAGATGACATCAGTGTGATGTATACTAAATATATACAGAATTCTATCCTTTGGTTTCTGTCCTATAAACCATACACTAACAAAACAACAAGTATGATGTGAGCGTGATAACAGGATAAGAGGAAATCATTGAAGACAGGAAAGCCTGGTATGTCTGTATCTTTAACACCTCAGTTTGTTCCCCAAGTTCTGTGACAAAGTAGGTGTGTATGTGTAAAAGAGTTAGGTAGAAATGTAGTCACTTACTAGATCTCGTGCAAAGAAAGTGTTGTCTACCATTGGTAGAGAAGCATGTTCCATTCCTCTGGTAGCCCAAGGAAGAGCCCACAAATTGTGTTGACACTTTGAAAGAAGGTGACATTTTCCAAATGTCTGGTTTCCCAAAGATAATCCTGATTTAGTTTGCTTGTCTTGCACATCCTTATAGTTTAGCATTTGTTCTGGAGCTGTTTTCTCTTTTTCTTTTTACAAAATGTAATATTTTTATGAATCCATCAAAATGATAAATTAATCCACTAATATTATCAATTTTAGGACAGAACTTTTTTGACAGAAAATTATTTTTGAAGCCCAAAATTTCTGTTCCTCAATAAATATATCATTCCTTATGGCTGTTGGAGGAGTCCCACTTGGAACCATCCACCACATGAAGCTTTACCTCTTGGGGGAGTCACAGGTCCCTCATACCTAGGAACTTACAGTACAGCTGGCAGTAATTCTCAAACTGGGTTTCATATGCCACAAAGACTCAACACAAGTTCTGAGAAAGCAGTCGACTAGTACATTCTGAAACACAATAAAATAGAGTCCTGTACTACCAGAAAGTCCTGTTATTAGACACTTCAACGTGCTTAATGTATGTTCTAAGTGTTTAAAAATAGGCTATACATATCACACTACATTTCTCCTTTATAAAACTATAAGTGTCCTATGAGATATTTGTGAAACAGAGAGCTTAATGAAAGGGTTACCTATAAGGATCTTCTTAATTATTCCTTTTCATGACCTTGAGAGGCCAGCACGGAAGCAAGCCTAGGGACTTCCCCATAGCTTACAGCTTAAACTGTACTTTCTCACCCTTTGAAAGTCTAGGACAACAGATATTTTCATCCCAATTAAGGAAGTAATTAATTGTCCAGACTTTCTTAAGGCTCCTTGGCTCTGGGAGAAAATCATTTGGACTCATTTCTGTGTTTACTCGTGCAGTTAACTAGATTTTTCTTTTTGTGTGCAAACTTTTTGAAGAAAAGTACATGGGAGAAGTCATTATAAACTCTTATGAAAAATATTGTCATTTTAGTGAGCACTAGATGGAAGATGTGGAGCAACAAGAGCAGTGCTGTGTGTGTGTGTACATGAGAGACAGAGAGAAATAGGGGCAGAAAGTGTGTGCCAAGAGCTAATGTGATAGAAGCATTTTGTCTTTCTGTTAAACTTGATAGTTGCTGATTGCCGCACTGACCACCCCTTTCATATGGGAGCTCCTTCATGAAGGCTGTACTGCCACTGACATGTTCTTTCTCATTCTTTGAAGGAGTCAAGATCTTGGTAACATTGTCAAAGCTGCCGCTTCAGTTCAGAAAACCAACAAAGGGTGAGATCTGTGAGCTTTTCAGGTTTTTTCCTTGTCTTTTTTTTTTTTTTCAATGCTGTACCAGCACCTTTGAACATTTTAAATACAGCCCCCCCCCCGGGCTGTTAATTATAAATAATCCAAAAAAAGAAAGTATGCATGTGTTTGCGTAAGTATCCCTGAGCACTGGGCACAGCTGACGTCTGTGGCCAGACACTCATTTGCCTCTGCTTCCTCCACTGGAAATTTCTCACCTCTTATGACAAAGGTGCCAAATCTCATCCCAAGCCTCCAGTCTTGTGCTTATGTAGCTGTCTCCTCAGTACCTCCATAGAGGATGTCCCAGGTCATATTCAGTTTCCTTCCCAAATACGCAATTTCCTGATTGTTCTAGTTACCTTTTTTGACTCGTTCTTGGTTCCTCTTGCTCCCTTGCCCCTGCCTCTCTAGTATCAAACACATATGGATTCAGTGTCTAAGAAGCAAGCCCCTTATACCTACATATCCTCTCACTCAATGCCTGTCTAATTACGGAAATGTTTCTAATGGCACTCTTATGTTTATCCTATACTTAATATCATACCAAACCATTTCCCTATCTATAATTTCTAGATATGCCTGCATAAACTGGTCTTGTCCAACTTCTAGAACACCATGTAAATCCATCCAAGTTGTATCAATGTTTCAAGATCCAGATCAAATACACTCCCTGACTGAGTAAAATCTTCCCTGTAATCCAGCCAGATGTAAATTCTGTGTCTCTCTAATAGCCCCACCTTTCATATAATGTTTTCTCCTGTTCAGTTTTGTTCTGTACTGTTTGTGTGAGTATATAATTTTCTTTGTACTCTTCATGCTGAGATTCAGAAAGTGTTCTGAATATTTCACTGTTGTTTGTTTTCCAACTCTTCTAAGTAACTTAGACCTGTAATTTTATGGATTTCTGTTTCTTTGAGGTAGTGTTTTGCAGTAGGGGATTGGGTAGTGATTTGATAGCTCATCAGGATGTTCGAAAGAGAGAGATGGGTGAATGATGCTAAAGGGATATTATGAGTCAGGCAAAAGCAGTAAGATCAGCAGTTAGTCTGCTTTCTCATTCCCAGGCCTTTGTCACAATGCATACATTCCATAGCCAAGTACATTTGTCACAGAGATGTTCCTGGTTGGACAGAGGCCAGTCAAAATGTCTGTGGCATCATCAAAACTACTGTTACTGTGGTGTGTCCCCAGGGAATGAGAAATGGTTTCATCTGAGCTGGTCTTTGTAAAAATTAGACTGTTACTGTTATCTGATTAAGAGCACTTAGCTTGTTATGAATGCAGTAGTGAAACTTAATATCCCAGGTTTTCAGCAGTTTACAATCGTTTTGAATGTTTGAGTTCTTTATTGAGAGAGCTGTCTCTGTTTTTATTTCACTTACCAAAGAGGGCTGCTCATGATGTATGCTAATTTTCTTGAGACAAACATGAGCATCCCCAAATCCTGTGCATCTTTATTATTGTGATTCATACCAGTCAAAAAGATCAAGGGCTGACATTTACAGTATTCTGAGCTTTGCTGTTTCCCTCAGGGACAAGGACAAGTTCTCAGGTTTGGCTTTGGCGAATAGAATTTCAAGCAAGAAACAATATGGGGCCCCATGTCTGGGGAGTGGGTAGTTTTTTCCACACAAATGTAGGGTGCTAATTACTTTTTTCTTAGGTACACTGAGTCATGTATCTCAATATTTATCCTCAGCCTTCGGTCCTGCCATTTAAAATGCAACATTACTTGAAAGGACCCAAGTATATTATGCCTGTTAATTTCACATATTTTTAGAATCTCTAAAGGGATTGCCTTCTGCAGCTATTCTTGCAATAATGTTATGCTAGTCATCTTCAAAGCACTGAGTGACTTGGCAAGTCTATTTCCCTAAGGCTAAGCCAATGTCTCAGTGTATTCAAATGCCATTTGAACAGTAAACATAGCAAGCTTTTATCAAATGAAAAATGTAATATTGAATGGTACTGCTTATTAAAATGGCCACCCTAATTGGTGACCCACATGAGCATACATCCTTTTCAGCTATGTCAACAATATTAAAAATAAGACTTAAAAAAAGAAGCAATAATCACTGAATACAAAGTGATTGGCATAATACTTGGCAAACCATCCACTCTCAGTTGTTTGGCCATTTTAATAAGCAGTGGTGCTAGAGTCTAACTCAATTTGGCCTGTTCCAAAACCCAGCCCACCTACATTGTAGGTGGATGCTGCAGCCTTGCTCAGCCTGGTAAGCTCATGGCTTTTACACTCACCACTGAGAGCTTCAGCCTAGCAAAGGAGTCCCCTAAAATTCTCCTACAAGGACAATTCCCAGCCCCCAGATCTTATGTGTGCTGGTTGCAACTCAGCCTGTCATGGCTAATCTGCAAGCTCACTCTTGCTGGTAGGTGTTGTAGCCTGGCTCAGATGGGCATGACCTACACTCTGTCCTGCCTCTTGCACATGTCAGTGGGTGCTGCAGCCTGGTCCAACCAGCCCTGTCTGCAGACCTGGCCCACACAAATGCTGATGAGTGCTGCAGCCCTGCCTGGCTGGGCTGGCCCCCAACCTTGGCTATTGGCCTTGGTTGTTGGCCTAGCAAGGGAGTTCCTCAAGTTCCCCTAATGACACTGCTTGGCATGGTCTTCTCTCAGTCCTGGCCTTTGCATGTGCTGGTAGGTGCTGCAGCCTGGTCCAGCTAGCAAACTCACAGCCCTAGTTCCTGCAAGTGTCAACTGAGTGCCATGGCCCAACATGGCTTAGCCAATTGCCACACCCAGTTCTCACAAACTGGCAGTTGCTACTATGCCCCAAAGGCAAGAGCACAAACCCCCTTACAGACTCTGACCTCAGACCAGTTCTCTTGCATTCTGGAGTTGTTGTGGCCCAGCCTGACATGGCCCACATGTACAGGTAGGAAATGTGGCCTAGCCCAGCCAGGCATGCCCCCAGGATCCAGATTTTGTGTGTGCCAGAAAGTGGTCAGTAATGCTATTTAGCCCAGCACAGGTCTCCCTCATGGGCAGGTGCTTTGGCCTGCCCCAGAAGTTTCCGCTGGGTTCCTCCCTCTAAACCACTGTGTTTCAACTCCCTCACCTACCTGTTACTGCAGTGGTCCAGTTTGTGAAAGACCCCAGAATTCATTCCTCACCTTTTAAACTGTGTTTTCTCTGTAATATGTTCACATACCCCCTACCCCATGTTGTCTGCAGCTCTTCCCACTGCTTGGGGACCAGGGTGCTGTCACTTGGCCTGGCATTCCTTGCCTTCCCCACATATCTTTAAAAAAAAAAAAAAGAATAAGCAACTATGCTGGCACACTGGTATAGTTAACATAAATCTGGCGTTAACCAGGCTCAGAATGTCTACCAGCTATTTGCTACTTTTGTCCCAGCAGTTTAACACATTTTGCCTAGGTACAAGGCAATCTAGGCAATTGCCTGCAGTTGGGGTATTGTTTCTTTTCTGAGGTGGCTACAAATCATGTTCTTATTTTATGAGTGAGGAAATTGAATAAGTAAGGGTTAGGTAGCTCACCCAGGATCACCAGTGAGTAAATGGTGACTAGCAGATTGGAGTCCAGGTGTCCCTTGCTTGGAAGACCGACTGCATGATTTCTGAGTGAGTTGGTCTGAAGGCCTCATCAACACCAGAGATGTTCCAAGAAAGGAAGGAATAACATTGAGAAGCTTGGAAAAGATGTGGCTCTTGAGCAAAAAGAAGGAAGTGCTAAGATTTGTAAATAGAAAAACTGGATAAGGCAGGCAAAATAAATGGAAATGGGATCATGGGAGATTAGAAAGCTGGAGAGAGGATGAGGTAAGGAGTAGACAGGAGCTTGAAATAGGAGCAGATTCTTGGTTACATCCTCCTCCCCAGGCTGGTTGGGGAAGAAAGCTGAAGCCACATGGCTTAAGGGGAATACCCAAACCCAGAAGTTGAGTTTACATAGCTTGCTTCTAAAAATGTAGCCAGAAGGAGTGCTCCCATTCTCCAGTACAGAAACAGCGTAGCAAATTTAGCTAGCCTAGAATGAGGTGGGAGTAAAATTCAAGCAAGAAGCCACTGATGAACAAGCTTTTTCTATTGACTATGTAGGGAAAGTGTTTTGTGCAAAGAGAGGCTCCATAATTAGTCATTGTACCTGTATTCCTTGACTGAATTTAAAGCATTCATTAGGCATTGACTATATGAAAGACACTGCTCATCACTGATGAGAACCGAATTGTAAAATACAGTCGTAGATTTTAAGTGTATATTATATAGTAGGAGCAGTTTAATGAGGCAAGTGTGAAGTTATCACAATACAAAGTCTAGTAGCAAGGTTCATGAAGGAGCTGGAAAGGAAAAGTGCTGCCAGAGCTCCAAAAACATAGGAGACGCTGTCCATTGGAGAGCGGGTTAAGGCTTGTTGGAGGCAATAGTGAAGAGAGCCAAGAAGACAAGCAGGATTTTCACACATAAATGCTGGCTGGGTGTTATGTTTCAGAGCACTCAGTTACCTCAGGCAGACCTAGTTCGATTCTGGACTAGTTTCTGCTAATGTGAATTTTTTTTCTCTTCCCAAAGTGAGGAACTGGATAATCTCATAAGAATGAACAAAAGCTTGAATAGGTAAGAATTTTGGTTTTTGCTTTGTTATTTGACTGTACATTACAACACGTCTTTTTCAATTTGGGGCTTTAGAGCTCACCTACCCACCTAGTCAAAGATATCATAGCAATCTAAAAGAAAAGCATGCAAAAGTCCTCTTTGTTTCTCCAATTTATAAGTGGTAGTCAGTGTCTAAGACATTGATATTAATATGTTTTTCTATTTTCATTCTTTATTTTTCTGCTCAAGTAGTTGTACAGATAACCATGTTTAGGTTCACAAAATATTAATACACTAGTGTATAAACAGTTTGGTTCAATGACTAGATACTCTTAGAGTAATTATTACCAAAATCACTTGTTATTTTTATTAACATTACCTCATTCCTTTGATTCATTTTAAATCATATAATTTAAAATATATGAACACATACATGAAGGATTGAGGCTTGTGTTAGTATATATAACTTTAATTACCCTCTCTGTTTCTTTGTGTACTGACCTGCTAAATGGGAAGAGAGCAAAATGAAGGAGACAACAAGGCAATAAAATAAAACAAAATAAAATAAATTGAACAGATAGTTTCCACACCCTGCTGTGGCAATAACAATCTGGGTTTAACTCTCAACATGTCACTTCAATTTGCTGCTCTTTAGTGATCTCATTTATTAGAGGAATAGAAGAGTTGTTGTTTTTGTCCTTTTGTTTTTGTCCTTTGATTTATTTGAAAGGCAGGGAGACAGAGCAAAATCTTTCATCACTGACTCACTTCCAAAATGCTTGCAATACCCAGGGTTGAACCAGGCCAAAGCCAGGAGCCAGGAGCTCAGTTTGGGTCTCCAGGGTGGCTGACAGGGACCCAAGTTCTTCATCCATCTCCTATTGTCTTCCAGCGTACACTTTAATGGGAAGCTGGATAGGAAGCACATCTTGGACTCAAACCAGATGTTCCTATGGTGGGATTCAGACGTCCTAAACTATAGCTTAATAGCTGTGCCAAATGACTGCCCACCACAGAGAGGGAGCTTTAAATCAAAAGTCAGAGATCGCAAGACCTACTGGAGTCAGGCAGGTGTCTCCACTGTAGGAGACAGGTTGGGGAAGAAACAGACCTGAGAGAATGAGTATCCATCCAAAGTGTCCAGGTGTTTCACTGCTCAAGCTGAGTGTTGCCCTATGGGAATTTGAGCCCAGTGTGTAAGTACATTTTCAGGAGACTCAGAAAATCAAGTTTTTCCTCGTCATTTCTATGAATACTGGTTCTCACAAAGAACGGTTGTGTACCATGAACCAAAGTAATACATCTATGGATCTAGTCTGGCTGGCAGATGTCAGTGGATGTTTTTAATTTTATTTTTTTTCTGAGGTCCATTTCAAGTTAGATTTTGAGATTTTGACCATATGAAAGTACCTGTTTGCAATACAGCAGTTTTAGGAGTTGAACTCATTTTTTCCCAACTAGCTCTTATTTCTGTTTCAGAAGTAAACTGATCTGTATAGAGTTTATAGAGTTAAACATTTCTTGTTGTGACTGATGATGTCTTTTAATCAATATATTTGAAGAAATCAAGGTCTCGATGGTCTGTTTAGAGCAAATCCAAAGGCGGAGCAAGCAGAGAAAAGGTAAGTGCCTCTCACTCACTCGCCTGCAAGTCTGACTTTCCAGGTTGCTTATATTGCTTTGGACGTTAGCTGGCACAGAAATAGATTAGCAGATGGGATAGTGCTCTCAGCATTGTACGTTTAGTGCAGGCATAATTGTCCAAAAGGATTTCTGCTCTTCCATGCCACAAGAACAAATGAGCAATTCATAGAAAAATGTTTATTGCATCTGACCTTTCAAGATAGCAAATAATTCATTTCAAAAGTTCAGTTTTTTTTTTAATCTGTGTTTACAGAGCCAAAAGCCTTGAAAGCCTCATCTTTACAAATACTCGGACCAACAAAGATGGCAAAGGGTAAGTCTTGGGAAGTCAGGCCAGCCAGTTTAACTGAATGCTAATCTGTCTATTATTTTCTGAGGGAGACCTTTTGCTCAGAACAAGTGTCAGGGAAGCTAGTGAAATAAGCCTGGGGCCAGTGTCAAGACGTTGACGGGGAGGAGTTTTTCTGGAGCTTGCTGCACCATCATCTACAATCTGGATGACACTGGACAAGTCATTTAACTTCTGCAGACGTGGGTTTCCTCATCCCATAAAGTGAATCTGTCACCTGTATGGTTTTCAGTCCCTTTTAGATCTAAAAGTGAAAGATATTCGCCTGGTTGCTAGAAGAAGTGGGTGATAGGCTGGTTTATTACCTGGGTATATTTACTGTAAGACATTCAGAGGTTTGATGCATAGCCGCTCATCACAGAATCTGTAGAATGTATTAAGGAACTTCAGAGTTGAGATCCTGGTTGGTCACATTATGTAGTCTGCCTATAGGCTTTGATTCATTGTGTTACAAAAATGGTTTAACTGATTTAATAACAGGATTGCTAGCATTTGAGAATTTAATTTACGATTCTAGACTGATATACTAGAAAATTGACCTGTAATTGATATCCTTTTTTCTTACTGAAAGAAACCAAAGCCTTGACAGTTTCATTAAAGAAAATCCCAGAAAAGTCAGCAATGAAAAGGGGTAAGAATTTATGAGCTCTCTATTGCTTACTTTATATTTTGTTACTCATTAGGTCTTGTTAAGTGTGAAAATAAAAAAGCCCTAGCTCCTTGTCCTCACACCCCTGCCCTTTTTATTATATTCAAAGAACTTGAAATTGCAACAGTTTTCTTACAGTGAAATCACAGACAGGTGAAAGTGGTGACGTGTAACACTTGAACAATAAGAATTTGAAGGGATTTGTTTTCATATTAGCTAATAACTTCAAATCTATGAACTGTGAAATTTTATTCCATGTAATTAACTTATATAAACTGTTGGAGATGTACTTGAGTTATTTCCGCTTTTCCAAGGTAAGATTCTTGAACATTTTATTAGAAATGATTTATCTGAATCTTCAAAGTATTTAGGTCCAATGTGTTCATCAGTTGGTTTCTGCTCCAATGTAAATGATTTTTCTGAATAAGTAAGATTATCTCAATATAGGTTAATTAAAATTGGCCTCCCATTAAATCACCCCCAGGGAAGCCAAAGTGGAGATCCAATGGGAAGTTCTATTTTCTTAGGGTAGTTACAAAATAGCTAAGTAATGTTTGCAATCTTAATTTCCAGATATTTCTTATACATTTTGCATGATGAGTGAGTGACTTGCATTGATATTTCTAAGGATATGTGATCATTTAACTAGTGATGGAATCTGACATTGTGTAAAATGTGCTGTTGTCACAAGCGATTCTGATTCTAACATAGAGCTGCTATCTGTCTTTTCTGTCCCCCACCCTAATATTATGAAAAAACCAAGGCCTTGGAAATGGTGGTAAAGTTAATCAAAGAACTAAAAAAATCAAGAAAGAATAAGACAAGTTTCCTACCTTGAACAGGATTCTTTCCTTCCTGTTAGCTTTGTGCACCTTATTAGAAAGTGGTGTGCTAAGGTTTCTTCTGATACAGATGAGCTCCTGGAAAAAGATGTGTCTGAGTTACATTGAAGTACATGTAGGGAAACCTGCTACAGCAATGCTCCTTCCACATCTTCTTAAACAATGAGTTAAAAAAATATATTGGGCAATAAAACGTCAAAATTGCTAAATGAGAGGTTTGTTGATTGAGATTATTTTTGCACAACTGTGTAAATTACTGAAGATAAACAAAAGAGAATCACATCCAAGGTTTTATTACTTAGTGGTTTGGTTCTGAAAGCAATTGATCTGAGGGCATCTTTTTATAGATTCTTGAGAAAGCTGTCCATTACCTAAGTAACATCAAGTTTTGATGTTTTCTTTCAAAGAAGTCAAGACCCTGAACCTACTGTCAAAGTGAAGGCTGGGATGGATAAAACCAACAAAGGGTGAGACTTTCTTGATGTAGCTGAATCTTGGTTAATTTTGTCCCAGGTTAATTGTGTGCTGTTTTCAGTAATACCGAGGATATCAAGAAATTCACATTGACATAGTATACAATGAATTTCTAGAGGCTAACTTAACATATTATTCTCAGATAATTTTTATAAAAGTCAATTCAATATCTGTAATACTGTCTTCCAAGCTTAAACCTATCAGCAAGAATATGCAATGTGTATATCTGTGAATACACTTGATCTTAGCCAAAAGGCTGAAAAGCACTATATCTGTAAATTCAATGGTATTATTTTGAAACTGATCTAACCTTTTATCTTTAAAGAGGTGAAGACCTTGAAAATGTTATCAAAGTGAATCCCAAAGGAAATGAAAGTACCACTGGGTAAGTCTGTATATGTAATTTCTGTAAGGTAAGACCAATCAGAAAATAAAATGATATGATCTAATTTCATAATCACATTTTATTATTATGGAATTGTATGTTTGATAGGGAATGGCATTCCATTCTCCTCTCTACCACCCCCCATATAAAATCATTTGGACTTTGGTTTATTCTGGAGAGGAGTTGCTGAATTTTTGAGTGTTTGCAGGAGAAAGCCTTGACATTTTCAAAATGATTTTCTAAAATGATTGGTATAGCCAAGAGTAAGCCTTAACTAAAACTCTTGTATGCCAGTTTCTGTGAGGTGGGTGGTCTCAGCAGGCAGCCCAGGAGAGACACAGGTGGCCTGACTTAACAACACTTTGCTGCCAACGTTGTGCCGTGTCTTGACATGACAGCAGTACATAATCAGGGTGCTTCTGCCTCCCCTACTCTCCCCACTGGGGTTCACAAATGGCCCTTTTGCATCACTGGATGCATTTTAATGGACTGGCATATTTCCCCTTGAGAAAAACTTTCCTACTATTTCAACTACTCCCGACATCCCTTCTTTGTTAGGGCATAATCTATTAGACACATTATATATTAAAATGTTTGAGATGAGAGAATTTTGTACATATGAGGACATATATAATTATTGTTCTTGTTGAAGTCTAAATATGTTGGTCTCAGAATTGAGAGCATAATATGTTTACCAGAGGTTAGAGAGAGTGAAATGGAGAAAAGAATGGGTAAAAATGATTTTAATAATATTAAATGGTTGTAAGTTATTATTTTTAACATTGTTCTCACTTAAAAACATATTGGCAATTGTATCTGATTTGTTGAATAGAAATTTGTATTCTCTCTGGATTTGGTACAAAACATTAACTTACTTGACCTCTGTGCTGCCTGTTTAGAGTGTTCCATTAAGCTGTATCTGAGTCTAAAGTTGATTTTGATAAATAACAGATAATAACAATCCTGTGAACAAAGCAAAAAAAAATTATGCTGGTAGCAAGTAAACAATCTTAAAATGGTCTTCAGTTCAAGATAAAAGAGTTTTTATTTGCTTTTAGCTTTAAAAATTCACCTCGACATGTAGAGAAAACGTATGTGTTTTCCACTTGTTATTTTCCAGCTATTATTCACTTGACCTATGTTTGGTTTTAATATCACTCATTAAGACTTTATTTCCTTATTTAAAGAAAACAGGACCTTGATGGGCTTATTAAAGGAAATCCTGAAACAAACACAAACATCAAGAGGTAAGGCATTTAGTTTCCTCCCTACTTTGGCATTTATGAGCACATCAAACTCTGAGTGCTGATATTCAGGAGAGCAAGTTCAAATTATAGCCAAAACTTAGTTGTTTGTTCTCTAAACACATCCTACTGAGCATGCCTCTACAACCTGTTGTGTTTCATTCTTGGTTGAAGTTTAGCAGCAGTTGATCATGGGAAAGCAAATGGAAATTTTTATCTGCTCAGGTGAGCTAGACAATTTACTGCTTTGCATATATTTGGAGAATATTCATGTAAGAACATATGTATGTATGTATGTGTATATGCTGTGTGTAAGTATGATTTATATGTGTTTGTATAAGTAAAGTGTGTACATGGTGTGTATATGAGTAGTGTGCATATAGGTGAATATGAGGGTGCAAGTGTTTGTATATCCATATGCAGTAGAGTGCATGGATGTGTCAACTCATATTTATGTGTGTATATGCACATGTACTATAGTGTGACAAGTATTTAAAATGAAGAGCTTATCAAAGTGTGCCTCTTTAAAAGAGTTCTCTTTTCCATGTATTGTGAGAATTTATGCCCTTTTTGTTTTTAAAAAGCAGATGGTACACTTTTTGAAACTGAAAACAGTATACCAAATAATTCCATGTGGTTTCCCTTGAATTCCTTCTCATTCAGTTAACTCAATACTTAGTATTATTTGTGGATTCTGACACATGTCACCGAGGATACCTGTGGGCTTTGCTGGCAGAGCCACAGCTCAGCTGGCTAAAAGCAGGTGTGTGTTGTAATCTTTCCCGCTCTTGACTGAGTGGCACAGTTAGAGGAACAGCTACTCAGTGAATTAGATTTCGCCAGTAAAAGACTCAGAGATCTTTTAACCTGCTTGGCTAGCTGGTTTGTTCAGATATAAAAACTGAGGTATTGAACAGAGAGCCTGAAATACCTGGTTTAAATGCTCACTCCGTTTGTTCAAATGTGCCTTGATTTATTTGTCTACAAAAGAGTGACCATAATACCCTATGCCTGGCATAGGGTAAGTGTAACTGTCAGAATAATAAGAATTCATATTAATTATACTTTCTTAATGATTTAGTATTCAAATATTCAGTTTATTGTAACTTTTGAGAAAGGTTTATATTTTCTTTCAAATTTTTACTAAAGAGAGCATTTCCGATTGTGATTGACCCTTCACGTTTTGATGTATGTACGTGTGTATATGTACGTATGCATGTGTGTATGTGTGTGCATTTATAAGGATATTTCAGAAAGTTAGTGGAAAATGGAGTTAAGAGGCAAGTTTATTTTGGGCAGAGTTTTAACTGTACATATGTAGAGGTTTCAAAAATTCATTAAAAATGTATGTCATAAAAATTACTCATGAATTTCAAAAGTTTTTGCACCAAAGCAAGTTGATCTTTTTTTCCCCATTTTTCCTTGAAATGTTTGAGGCATCTTTATCTGTTTAAGCATGCAAGCAAATGTTTGCATTCATTTGTGCATTCATGGGTATGCATGTTTGTGTGCAGGGAAGTAGATGTATGTTTATGTAGGCATGTGTGTAAGTTGTACATGTACTTAATTGCATATACAATGCTTCTGTGTGCACATATGTGAGTATGTGTGTGCATGTATATGTGGGTGTGTGTGCACTTCAATTTGTGAAAGCATAAAGTGCTATGTGTTTGTGTGCATACATTTATATATTTATTGCTGACATTCCTTTAAAGGCAGTAGCTATCATTTCCTTTTTCTCAAACACGTAACAAGGTGCTGTAGATATTTTTAAAATAAAAATCAGATAATTATCCTCTCTCTCTATTAAACAGGCTTCAGTATTCTCCCATCTCAGGGAGGATAAAACTAGCAGTTAATGATGCCCTTTGCACTCTCATTAAAACCCAGCCGGAAGCACCATTTCTCCTCCAGGCCCACTCCTATAGGAAGGCTCCTGCATCAGCTTTTCCTAGGATACTGTATCCCTAGGATTGCCCTCTCCAAAAAATCTTTTCTGATCAGTAAACATAAATTAAGTCACCATCCCCTCCCCCTAACACTTATCCCTTACTGCAGGCAACAGACACTCTTGAAATTTTCTTCACAGCATATATTTTTATCTGAAATTGGATGTTAAATTTTACAAGAGTTGTTCAAAAACTTTGCAGACAGATGGAATTAAAAATAAGCTTTATTTTCATGCAAAAAAATTGGAGTTGTACAAATAATATATGCAGATCTTGAAAAAAGTTCATGGAAAATGCATAGAATGAAACAGCAATGCATAAATTTCAAAATTTCTTTGCATCAAAATAGCCACATATTTTAATCACATTTGTCTACAGTCCTTTTTTTTTCTTTTAGTTTGAGAAACAGACAGGGCAAGGGTGGGAGAATAGTCAGTTGTTTCACTCCTTACGTACCTGTGCTAGATTCAGTGCAGGTGCTCTGAAGCGGAGTGTAAGTATCCCAAACAGCATCTCCCTCCCGAGGCCACATACCCACCGCTTTTCACACTTTGATATATTTGTGTATTGCCTGCCTCTCCACTAGTTACAGTGGCAGCCACCTGTAAGCTAATCCTGTATCTCTATTGGCTTCTATTCCCATCGTTGGCGAGGGCCTGGTTGGTGGTGTGCTTTCCAAAGTGTTGGTGGACTCTACAGTGCAATACTACTGACATTGTACATACAGAGTATGAGGCATTGCTTCCCACAGGCATTGTTGTGATGCAATATCATATTTAATAGATTACTACATTATTCAGTCACCTTTCTTTTTGACTTTATGAACTGTGAAATTTAAGTTAACTATACTATTAGCTGCTTAATTTTTTTAAAAAAATTATTTAATGTTTTTATTGGAAAGGCAGATATACAGAGAGAAGAAGAGACAGAGAGGAAGACCTTTTGTCCAACGGTTCACTCCCCAAGTGGTCGCAGTGGCTGGAATGGAGCCAATCCGAAGCCAGGAACCAGGAGCTTCTTCCTGGTCTCCCACGCGGGTACAGGGTCCCAAAGCTTTGGGTCATGTTTGACTGCTTTCCCAGGCCACTGTCAGGGAGCTGCATGGGAAGTGGGGCCTCCAGGATTAGAACCAGTGCCCGTATGGGATCCCAGTGCATTCAACGCGAGGATTTTAACTGCTAGACTATTGTGTTTTAAGGTACCAAAATCTTGACAATTAAATGAACTTCACAGTCAATACAAAGGGAAGAATAACAATGTTTACTGCTTTGCTGTTTTTCTGAATGCCTGTATCTGTAAATAAAAAGCTGATTTTTGTTTGTTTGTTTCTGTTACTGGAGTTAAAAATCTTACCTACTTCATTTCCTGCCGAATCAACCAGGGAGTGATCTAGAGTACAGTGGTGGCTTCTGTGGGGTTCATTGATTTGTTATTTGCATTAGAAGTTTCAGTTATTTTTAATTGTTGGTTTTAGTCTGCATATCACAATCTTAGACAATTGGATACAAGTTTAAAAAAACCTAAATCACATCTGGTTGCTTCCAAATATTTGTATCTTTGATGTTGTAAAGATGAAACCGCAGAGCCTTTTTGATATGATGTGAGTAGGATCACAGTGTGGACAGACGGTGACTAAGTACCTTCCCATGCAAAGTCTTTTCTCCAAATGGTATCCTCTGTAGACCAGAGGAGCATGTGCAGGTGCCACGTATGTGGAAAACATGGAGATGCAACAAGAAAGCAAAATTCCCTAGTGATCAGAAGCAGACATATACTAGAGGGTAACCATGAGGCTCTAGAGTTGAAGTGACTTTGTGGATGTTTATGTCATAGGCAACTTATCATGTATTTCAGAACCTATAAATTTTAATCATTCTGTTATTTATTACCAAGACACTACCTAAAATTTGACATTTAGCACACATTTGTAAGTATAAAAAGCAGATACCAAATTGCATGTTGCAGAGTTTAACAAATTATGTAGTTACCTCAATACACTTTTGTGATAGAAAACTTGTTAGAATATGTCAACTTTGCAAAATATGTATTTCCAAAATTGATGTTAAACTTCCACAGCATATAGTAAATGAAGAAGTTATACCTTCTGAAATATTTCACAAAAACACACAGACTATTACAAAGATGTTTTGTGTAACTGTTAAAAATTAAGAGCATAGAGTTAAATTCATAAAACTATACAAATTCTTAGTGTAATATTTGTGAGGATCAAATGGTTCCAAAATTAAAAGATTGCTTTGCAAAATCTCAGTGAGTTTTAGAGATACCTAAATCCCTACCGACTTCTGCAGAATCACGTTTAACATTCTTCAGCACTTCAGTATAATCCCAGCGAGGGTTTATATTACTTCTCAGATACTTTCATCCATTTGTTATCAACGTTCCTTTAACTTCAGCATTTCTTCAATGTTTTAAAGGGGCAAGAGCCTTGACAATCTCATCAAAGTGAGCTCTGAAGTAAGCAGAAGTAGCCAAGGGTAAGAACTGTGTCCTGTCTCTTCCTTCCCTTTCCCCATCAATTTGTGGCACTCATAAAAGATGTGTTGAAAAACCTTTGGATTGGGATCAGAAAGTCTGAAATTCATTACTCTTCGGCTGGGTGTCTTTGAACAAATTCCTTGAACACTGAATTGAAGTTTTCTTAGTTATACAATGAGAATCATAATGTTTGTTCTATCTTTGTCTCTGAAAGTTATCTAGTAAATCGATGGCTATAAAAACCCTTTTAAAATAAAAGGTACTAAAAATGGAAACTTTCATATAGTTAAAAGTTACATTGAAGATGTGGTGGTTAAGGAGACTTAGTGAGAGTTTTTGGCAAATCATTCCAATGTTTCTTAACTGATTAATTTTTAGAAATAACCTTGCCCTAATGTTGTGGTTTTATTTTGAATGTTGAACACTATACCAATAAATCATGATTTTTAGGAAAGTAGAATTTATTCTTTTAAATCAAGTATATAGAAGAAGGCATTTGCTCTAGCGATTAAGATATTTGCTAGGACACCTGCGTCCCACAGTGGTTTACCTGGGTTCAATTTCCTATTCTTGCTTCTGATTCCAAGGTTGTGCCAGTACAGACCCTGGGTGCACTGGTGATATCACAAATAGTTGGGTTTCATGCCAACCAGTTTGGACACTAGATTGAGTTTCCACCTCCCAGCTTTACCTTGGCCCAGGTCTGTCCATTGTAGGTCTTTAAAGAATGAAACAGCCTGGTGCAGTAGCCAAATAGCTAAATCCTCACTTTGAAACTGCTGGAATCCCCTGTGGACACTGGTTTGTATCCTGGCTGCTCCACTTCCCATCCAATTCCCTGCTTGTAGCCTGGGAAAGCAGAAGAGGATGGCCCAGAGCCTTGGGACCCTGCACCTGGAAGAAGCTCCTGGCCTCTGGCTTCAGCTCAGCTTAGCTCTGGTCATTGCAGCTAATTAAGGAGTGAACCAGCAGATCAGCTGATGTGTACTGATTTCTTTCAGTAAGTAATAAAGTTTATCTTGAGTATATATATTCTTTAGGTGGGCATTTTGAGTAATCTAAGTGGCATTTTGACTACTGTATGAGATACCCACCTAAAGGTTTCATGCTGACACACACCAGGGAGGCAGCACTTGGTAGCTACGTACCTATGCCTCAGCTACCCTATGGACACCCAGATTGTTTCAGGTTTCTGGCTTCAGCCTGGCATACTTCAGCATTTTTTTAGGCTTTTGGTGATTGAGCCAGTGTTTAGAAGTTGTTTAGTATTCTCTGCCTTTCCAAAAACAATAACAACAACAACAACAACAACAGCAACTAAAACCCACAAGAAAACCCAAATAATAGCTAATTGGTCTCATTTAATTTTTATTTATCATGTTTTATTTGTTTTGGTTACAGTTCTGAAAATCTTAATGCCCTCATTAAAGTGAATCCAGGAACAGGAAATAGTATGCAATGGTAAGATTTAACGGTTTCTTCTTTTTTTGATGCTAAGCAATGTCTAGACATATAATTAAGATAATTTGTTTCAACTTATTCATGCTAAATCCAATGATAATTTAAGAAAAGCAACATAACCCTGACTATCTCATAGTTGAAAATAAAGGTAAAGATTTGGGTCAATTTCTTATATAATAGAGGTACCATGGTTAATTAGGATCATAGTCTGGCCTCCTCCCTCCCTAGGATGGACAGAAAACTATAATTTTCTGATTTGTTTAGAGCATAAAGAGAACTAGACTGGTGTCCATACATGTGAGAGTAGGCTTAGCTCTGCACCCCTACTCTCTGCGCCCCTTTTCTATGTGGCCTGGACTTGTCTCTCTTCTCCTTTTTGAGCAACTGTTTTTTCATCATCATAGTGAAAAGATTGGACTGGATGCTCTCCTAGGATTACAGAGCTAATTCATTCCGAAGCATCAGTGAGATAAGATGACCTAGATTTCACACTGTTAACCAGGTGGGAAAATTGTTTACCCTTCCTGGATCTCAATGCTTCCCTCTATGAAACGAAATTATAATATACATGCTCCCTTTCCCATGGGATTGGTGGAGGATTAATTTAGATACTGACAGAGATCAGATGGAACAGTACCTGGCACATCAAAATTTTCTAAAACCATTCCCTACTATTGAGTGCTTCTATTCATTTTTTGTTAGGTTCTAATATACATATTCACATCACTATTTGCATTTGAATATGTTCATATTCAACACTGAACAAACTCAGTCTTTGAAATGATCTATATTTTAATAATACCTTAGGATAAAAATGTTTCTCAGTTTCAACAACATTTGCAGTTGTTGAGATAAATCTGCTACTGATTTGGTTATTTCCTCTGTGTTTTTAAGGGGTCAAAGTCTTGACAACCTCATCAAAGTGGTTCCTGAAGCAAATAAAAATAATCAAGGGTAAGTACTTTGGAACTCTTTTACCTTTATTTTTTTCCCTCCAATTCAGCTTAAAAATTCAGCAAGGTGGATGTCAGGAGAGATAAAGTACACTGCCTTACCACAGAGATACCTGCGAATGGAATCCTAAATCATAAGATCCTGGGACACCCACCTAAGCACTGGTGTTTTATCTAGGGTTTGTTGGTTGTGGGTTTGTGGGAAAGAAAATTCCTTGAAATACAAGAAGGGCTCTTGCCCAGTGTGGGATCTGTGTGCCATAACTGGAATTTCCTTCAAATGAGTGGGGATTCCATGGCACAAAGCATCCTGCCACAAGAAGTTCTCAGAGATAATCCCCCAGAAGAAATGTCTTCATATGATAAGTTATCCTATCTTCCCCCTCCAATATTTGTATCCTCTCCTCCTATTACCTTCTACCTAGATGACACTAAAGTTGGAAATTATTATTAAAAAATTGTACTGAGTTTGAGGCTAGCTTTGTGATGTAATGCATAAAGCCATTGCCTGCAACACTGGCATCCCATATGGGTGCTGATCCAGCTCCCTGCTAAAGATCTGGGGAAAGCATCAGAGTATGGCCAATGTTCTTGGGCCCCTAATGCACTTGTGGGTGACTCAGACAAAGCTCCTCTCTCCTGGCATCCACCTTGCTCAGTCCTGGCTGTTATAACCATTCGGGGAATGAATCAGTGGATTAAAGACTATTTTTTCTGTGTCACTCCATTTTTTTTTCTAATTCTGATTTTCAATAAATAAATATATAAATTGTACTCAATTCACTGAAATAATAAAGACAGCAGACTGTATTTATTATTTGTTTTTTTTTAAACTTATTTAATTTTTTGGAGTGGCAAATTTACAGGGAGAAGGAGAGACAGGGAGAAAAATCTTCCACCCATTGGTTCACTCCCCAAATGACCACAATGACCAGACTTGAGCTAATCTGAACCAAGGAGCCAAAAGCATATTTTGGGTCTAAAACATGGGCACAGGGTCACTAGGCTTTGGCCCATCCTCTACTGCTTTCCTCAGCCATAAGTAGGGAGCTGAATGGTAGTGAGATGCTGGTGCTTGTAGGTGGAGGATTAAACTGTTGAGCCAACATGCTGGCCCCAGAATACATTTATCTTGTATAAAGAGAGACTTTTTTCTAAGGCATATTATATTATACAGAGACAGGGCAAAACCATGAAACTACTAGCATTTATTTTTATGTAAGTTTTATATATCTTTACATATGTATATTTTTGAAGGAGTAATTTTTTTTATTTGAAGAGTGGAGAGAAAGAGAGACACATGTCACTTCTTTTGTCAGTTTCCTGTCTTTGCATATGGGAATAAACTGTTTTATAAGATGTGTCTAACAGACAGAGCTGATTCACACTAAAATTAAAGGCCTACACTTATTCATAAAGGGCTAGATAATTCATAATTTTTTGCTGTTTTGATTCATAAATTCTTCCTGCAGTGTGAAACCAATACTTGTGAACAGTTGGTATGGGTGTTTGTTAGTAAAACTTTATTCGCAAAGCCAGGTTACAGGCTGGATTTAGTTTAAGGGCCGTAATTTACTGACATAGACGAGAGAGTGTTTGGCTAGCCTGCTCCTCCACCTCTTATTGCATATATTTCTTCATTCATGGTGTTATAGCTTTAATCATTATTTTACCTTTATGGTTAAGGCTAAACAAATATAAAGACGTACAAGAAATCAATTGATATCAGTCAATATTTTTATATAGTGCTAAAAAGGGAAGTCAAGTACTCATGAAATTTTGCACTAGCAACAATTTTTGATTCAAAATTAAGGGTGAAAACTGTATAAATTATTGATTTTAATTGATCTTGTTAGTTATTAAAAGCTACAACACTTTTTTTTTTAAAGAAACCAAGGTGTGGAGAGTCTTACCAAAGTGAATCTTTCACCCAAGAAAAGGTAAATTTAAGTCTCCTAAGCAAGCTTCTATTTTTGGCAAAAAAAACAAGTTTATTTGGTTAAGGAAGGAATAGGAACAAAGTGAGTCTATTTGTTTATATGTAGTAATGCTGAATAGATTTGCCATTTGTTATTGTTTCTATTTATTTCATTGTAATAAGGTTTAAATTAGTTAATATTGAAGCTAATTATGTATAATTACCACTTGAGAAATTCCTTTGGATATAATAACAACTAGATTGCAACTAAATTTGCAGTTAATAAATTATGAGCTCATCAAACTGAACAAACCAAAGAATATTGATTTTCTAGCCTCTCATAAACCCAAGAAGCAATATTTAAGTGACCCCTGAGACAACTGACAAAGTAGTGTTTTTATATTTTAATTAGACTATGTTTGCATGACAATGAATTTACTTCTTTGAGAAATTAAAACTTATTGTACACTAGAACAAAAGTTAGTGAAAGCATGGCAGAGAAACTCCAGACTAGCACTCATAGGATTATGGTGAGGATAATCACAGGGAAAGCAGTGCAGAGATGGAAGGAATCCCTGGGAAGAGTAGAGAGGAAGGGTGTCAGCGGGGAAGAGAGCAGGATGTGGGGCATCTTGCTGCGGTTACAGTTTTAATTCACTCACTTGTGAGGTATCTGGGTCCAGGTGTCTTAGCGCCTCTAAAGCTGCTTCCTTTAAAGAGAAAGGGGACCCTGGTAGCAGCTGCTTCGCCAAGTTGTTTTGAGTATTGGAAATATGGTAACTAATGTATCTATAAAATAGGAGTATTAAGCTTCTAGCTTTTTATGCTAGGACTCTGTTGGATGATTTATAAATTTGAAAAACAATGCCAATCACGTTATTTATTGACTTATAATTCTATTTGACCTTTCGATTTATTTTGTTTTATCAGTGAACAAAGCCTTGATGAACTCATTAATGTAAGCCCCAAAGATGTCAAAAACACTGCTGGGTAAGGCAAGAATTATTCATTTGTTTGTTTTCCTTTAACTAAATATAATGTGAATATAAACAACATAATCACTCTATGAGCAGGTTTACTGTTGGCTATGAAAGAATTGTTCCAATTAAAAAAAAAAATCTAAAAGAGAGACAGAGAAAGACACAGAGAAAGAGACAGGCAGAAAGACTCTTACCAGCAAATGCCTGGAACCGTTAGGGCTGAGCCAAGTGGAAGCCAGGAGCCCAGATCGGAACCTGGGCCTCCTATGTGGGGGACAGGTACTCAATATTTGAGCTGTCAGCACTGACTCCCAGGGTGTACTTTAGTAGAAAGCTGAAATGAGGAAAACAGCCCTAGGAGGTGAGTGGAGGTCCAGAGAGCACATGGGCATCGTCCAGTGCTGTGCCGAACGCCCACCCTGTCAGTGTTTATATGTCCATATAAGCCTTGTATCCATCTCTTAACATCACGAAGAAGAGGTATGATGGTGGCTACATTTCTGTCAGCCTCAAATAAGGCAGCTGAAAGGAGATTGGAGAAGCGATGTGTAGGAACATAACTAGTTCACAACTGTTTAGATTCTGATGTGTGTGTGAGTGTGTGTGGTATTTGTGTTAGTTCTTTTGTCTCTGGAATGAATTAAAATTTATTAGTGATAATTAAAGTTAAGGAAAAGGCCCATACATTTCATTAGACTCATCATTAGCCACATCATTCACCTTCTTTTGGGAGAGCATTCTCGACCATCAATGGAAATTTTTTGAGGTTTATTGTTCTGCAGATGGTTTGCTTATGGACTTGAAACTTGATAATTCTCTAAGTATGTGTAAGACAATGAGATTTACAAAAATGTCTCTAATTGTGTGAAGAGTTTTGGATCATCACACAGTGCTGTTATATATGCTATGTATGTGTTTGTCTTAAGACTCCTCTTGATAAATGTGTTGAGTCATAAAAAGCATTAAATTCTAGAGATACAAAGAGATAATGTTAACCTAGTTAATTGGGGCAATCTTGAAAACAAGTTAAGCCTCTTCATTTTGTCAGCGAGATGAGTAAGACTCAGAACAGTTAAGGGATTTGACCGGGGACACAGAGAAAAGGCAAGTGGTTCTGCAGTCCCTTTGGCGGTGGGTAATTGCTGGCATCTCCTGGGTTCCCAGCTTACAACTAGGTATCATTAGTTGCACATCAGAATAATTATAGGCCACAGACACCAAGAAGAGAATTCAGTAGTCATACTCAATCTTATTAGCGGGAAGCAATTAACATATATTAAAGCTAATTATGTTCTGGGGCATAGAGATGTTATTCTGAGACAATAGTAGTTTGTCAGATTAAAATATTACATTTTTAGTCACTCACATACTGCTTGCTGAATATAGAATCTATTGTCAGTGAAAAGCATTTGAGGAGAAAAAAAGACATTTGAATGTTTATATTGTAATATTCATATTCTTAGAAACACAATTTAGAGATTATCCAGTCCAGGCTCTTCCTTTACAGATGTAAATACTGAGGCCAGGGGCACACGTCCCCCCTCCTCTGTGAGGTTTCCTGACAGCTAGAGTCACACCACAGAGCATAGACCTGGGTCTTCAGATCAATGAACGGAAACAGTGGAGGCAATCAGGACAGGAGTGCACTGCTGTGACACTGTCAGGAGGCATCCTTTACTGCTCTCCAAGAATCAATTGAGGTATTCTTTATAGATTATAATGCACAAGTGTGCAAATAAATGCTCTAAACTTACTCAAATATTCTAATGCCTCCTTTACTCTTTTTAAAGATTTTTTTATTATTATTATTTTTTTTACTGGAAAGGCGGATATACAGAGAGGAGAGACAGAGAAGAAGATCTTCCGTCCGATGATTCACTCCCCAAGTGAGCGCAACGGGCCGATACTATGCCGATCCGAAGCCAGGAGCCTCTTCCGGGTCTCCCGCGCGGGTGCAGGTTCCCAAAGCTTTGGGCCGTCCTCTGCTGCTTTCCCAGGCCACAGGCAGGGAGCTGGAAGGGAAGCGGGGCTGCCGGGATTAGAACCGGCGCCCATATGGGATCCTGGGCGTGCAAGGCGAGGACCTTTAACCACTTGCGCCACTGCGCCGGGCCCTCCTTTACTCTTTTTAAAGCAACATTATTGAAGTAGTAACTTCACTGGGAAAATGCTAAGTTGCTTTCGTGTGAAATTTAGATATGAAAATCCTTTGCTGGATCCAAATTCTGAAAAAGAAATCTAGGCAATCATTGTTTTCAATTTATTGAGATAAATTACATAATATTACTGATCAAGAAAGTTCAGCAGCGTTACGTGAATCCTTGTTTTGTTAGGAGACGAAATAGCCTGAATTTATGTTTCCTAAGCTAGGGTTGCTGTAACAAATGGGTCACAACGCATTAAGTGGCAATTAGTATTTTCCTCTTTTAATGGAGTTGGATGAATTGAACAGAAAAATTCAGAGTTTTCTGTTTTTAATAGAGATATTATTTCATAAAATTAATATTTTTATTGTATGTATGTGTCTACAAAATAGAGAAATGGATTTTGAAGCAAAATGCATTTTTATTGGATCTTCTGATGGTGATTTGAACATCAATATTCCATGTTTCAAGATAAATGAAGTTTTCTGAGTTTAGCGAACAGTAAAAATGGAGACTCTCATCTGTGTCTGTATTTTCTATGTTGTTTACTGTGCCATGTATATATTATATATGAATTTATACTATGATATTAAGATTGATTCTCTGTTAAAACAGTTGTGGTTTTCGAGCATACCGTCTCCATCTGCAAATTTTCACGGCCTGTTGTTTAATTGAAAATGTAAAATTGCCATCATTTTAAAAATTGTAATCTTCCTGGTATAACTTAATTTTATAATAGATTTTTTTCTCTCACCATTTCTATCTCAACCTGTTTTATAACATATTTTACAATCAACTTATAAAAAATTGTTTTGACTAGTTCTCATTGGCCAAATAGTTTTGATAGCATTTGTAGATACCAGTTGATTATCATCAATTGGTAATATTATTATTGAAGAAAATTAAAAATACTGAAAATTCAGTTGAGCATTTTTCATCTGCCTTGGAGAGCTCAGAATCATGACAAAGAATCAAGTTGAAACCACGAGCTGAAAAGTATATTCTATGGAAAAGATAAGGGCTTAGAGAATTGCCATGTGGAACTTCACTCAAACTTTTTTGATGCATCATCTATAACTTGCTCTTGCATCAATCCTTTTGAGGAGTAGAATAATTTAATTTTTATATCCATAACGTGGACTTTTGAGGGGTGGGAAACAGGCAAGTTGTACCATATGGTAGTGGAAGCAGATGTTATCAATTCTGCAGTTTCTGTGACACCTGCTCTATATTTCTCTGCACAAATATAAAATAGGAGTGAAATTCACAACTTTGCAGCCATCTAAAGTGGAGATGCAAAGAGAGAATGAATGATAGCTAACCATGTGTGAAGAAATAATGTTCAGTGGCTGAGAAAAGAAGCTGGAAGGGCTTCAAGTAGCTGATGGACAGTTTTCAGAGCATGAAACTAGGTTGACAATGAACAATTGAGTTTTTCAGTCACCATAGAGGAAATGCAATTATGTTGGATTGTTGGAACACTTTATTTCAATCTCTTTTTATCTTTTCCAATCTGTTTGTTAAGAATAATTCCGGTTTGAGAGCATAGTTGTTATTTCTAAATTGTTAATCTCAGTTGGTGAAAATACTTCAAAGATAAGGCCATTAGAATCAGTTTGAATCTTCATGCTAAAACAACCCAAAGAAAAAGCATCGTTGGCCCTGGAGCACTTATCCAGCATGCCACGGTGGATGTGCTTTAGCAATAAAGCCTGTGAACACCAAGTTTTCTTCTGTTATAGCATGGTTTTTCCTTCCCTGGACATATTTCATGGTTGTTCTATAAACAAACTATATTATGATACCATAACTCTTTTTGTCGTTTCCAGTGACCTTAAACCCATATTATTTCTAATCCAAGCCACTTTAATCTTTTTTTTTTCTGTTTAAAGAAACCATGGTCTTGACAAACTCATCAAGGTGAATCCTGAAATTCATGTAAAGAACCAAAGGTAATTCAACCACGTTATTTTGAATGTCTTTTGGTCAGAAAGAACATTTTGCTTTATTATCATACCAAGCAGATTTACAGCTTGAACAATCTTAACAAAAGATCTTTTTAATTAACCTGTTTCCTCTCCGTGTTTCTGTCTTCAGAAACCAAGATCTGGATCACCTCATCAAAGTGAATCCTGCAGTACTCAGACGTAATCAGAGGTAATCAAAGGAAAGTGGTCAAGTCACCTTTCTTGCTGTTGAGTGACATGGATTGGTGATGTTGCTTTATTAACCTAGTGCAACCCAATATTCTGTTACTAATGTCAGCTTCTTTTTTTCTTTTACACAGTGCCGATTTGGACAATCTCATTAAAGTGCAACCTTCAGCTCTCAGAAACACTACTCGGTAAATGACCTTGCTTATCTTGACATAATCCCCACATTCGAGGGTAGGAATTTTTTTTTCTCTTTTCTTTTTTAATGAAGAATTTTCCTTTTCTTTAATGACTTATATGAAGATACTTTACCCTCCCCAAGACCTAGAATATATAAATCTCAGAAGTTAGAGATCACATATTTGCTTAATTTTAATTTTTGTTTTCTGATTTTGACATGTAGTACATTGTTATCCACAGTCCCCATACTGTGTCATAAAACCCAGAATGTCCTCTCCAGCTATGACGTAGCACCGATCAGTCAGTCATTTCCCTCCCCTGCCCCACTCTCGAGCCTCTGGTAGCTAACGTTATATTTTAGCTTCTCATGTGAGTGAGATCATGTGATACTTGATGTCTATGCTCTGCTTACTTTACTGAGCATGACCTCTGTTTCAATTCAGTGTGCTGCAAATGATAAGATTTCATCCTTTTACTGATAAGCAGTATTCCATTGTGTGTATGTACCACATTTTCTTTATTCATTCATGGGTTGATAGACACTTAGGTTGTTTCCATTTCTTGGCTATTGTGAATATTACTGCAATCAACTCAGGAGTGCAGATGTCTCTTCAAGAGACAAAATTTTTCTCCCCTTTGGTATATACCTTCTAATGAGATTTCTGGACCTTAGGGTACAACCACTCCTGCTCTGTAAAGCTTCTGCTGAGAATTTTGCGGTTAGGAAAATTGAGATTCTTTTGTATGTTATTTGTCTCTCTTAGATCTATGAGAATCCTCGCTTTTTAACCTTGGAAGCTTGATTATATGTTGGGATGTACATGGTTAGGCTTAATGGGTAAAGGACGTATAACCCTCTCAACCTGGATAGAAATATCTTTCTATATTTCTCTAGGTTTGGGATTTTATTCTTTTCCCTATCCAATGGCATATTTTAAAAAACTTATTTATCCATTTGAAGATCAGGGTTATAGACATTGAGGGAGAAACACAGGAGAGAAAGCTTCCATTTGCTGGTTCACTGCTCAGGTAGCCAGAATGGCTGTTGCTGGGACAGACTGAAGGCAAAAGCTTCTTCCAGGTCTCACACATGGTAATGGGACCCAAGCCCTTGGTCCAGCCTCTGCTGTTTTCTGAAGTACATTAGCAGGGACATAAACCAGTGCCTTGTATACTGACATAGCAAACATTGTCTTAATGTGCTGTGCCGTAACACTTGCCCCCAATTGTATATTTTCAAATAACCTATCTTTAAGCTCACAGATTATTCTTTATTTATTATTGTTTTACTTTATTGTAGAAGATAATTTTATGCAAAAAGCACTGTTAGTTTAATAATTCTTAATCAAATATCTGTACAGCAAGGGCATTTCCCCTATATAAATATGATAACCATGAAAAGGAAATTTGAAAACATTAACTATTATGTTGTTTTAAGATGACATCTTGATCTACTACTCTAATTGATATCTGATTACCCTTTAGTGGTGCTCTAGACTTAATGGTAATTATCCAGGATGTTCAGGAAGTATCACAGAACTGACAAACAGGGAAAGCTGGTCTATCTATTTGAGAGAAGGGACTTCATTCAGTAGATTCAGTCACCTGTATCTATACTTCCTCCAGGCTACTCCTGCTCTCTAGGTAAGATAGGGCTATTGTAAAGTACCTCCTGGGAGGAAGAACAGCCACAAGGCACCTTTGCATCAATTCAGTCTGACAGAAGCACTGGTTATTGAATAGTAGAACAGCGGTGATTCTGAGTTCTTTTATGTGACTTTGTTAACATTTCCAGCAGCTGTATATTGGATTCACAGTTAGGGGCTGAGTAAACCTCAGTCATGGATCAGAATACAAGCAGGCATCTCCAGACCCCTTTTAGGAACACCATAACCAGAACAATGCAGATGTGCACAGAATTTTCACTTACTCCATGTGAAATAGGAGGGATTTTAATAAGAAGAGTTTCACATTTTCATGAACAACATTAGCCTATGGATTATTTTTAGAATAACCATTAAAACTAGCTTTCTTTTCTCAGATGAATACTGAAGACAACCTAGTTGTTTTATGCTGTGAGAAAACTACCATTCATCGAAGTAGAAAATAATATGATTAGCTACTCATGTTATGGTACTTCCATCTTTAAGGGCTTCCTATTTGTTAAAATACATATCTGTGAATTTTTAAACTAATTCTACAAGCATCTCTATCTTCCTATTGTGTATTTCTTATACTTCTGTGCAAAACAAAAACTGAGGTGGTGATGTTTACTCCTTTCGTTGCCTCGTTCCCCATAAGCAATCATCACTGAATTTCTCCCAGGAATCTTGGGAAGAGGTCCATGACACTGCATTACCACCGATATTGTTGTTGTCTAGATTAGTGTTCAGCTTTCTGCTGTTGGCCACTCTTGCGTTTTGTTCTTCAACTCACTCATAACAGTGGATTGATCTAGAATGATCCAATCTTTTCATTCTCCTGATTAAAATCCTTCAATGCGTTTCATTGCCTTTAATAACAGCTGTTTACCTTAACCTGGTCTCCACATCTACCATGATCTGTCCTCCAGGGGCTTCCCACAGCCTGTCTCCTGTTGCTCTCCACCCATAAGCAAACCCCACTCACCCACCCTCTGACTCACACACTCTCCACTCCCCTTTAACCACGATGAAGGGAATTACTTCTGCTTATGCCTCAGGTGTCAGCTTGGGTGTCGCTCACACTGGCTGTGGCCTTCCCCTCACTCACATGTCTGTTTCAGGTGTTTCTTCTAGATGTTCTCCAGATCTCTGTCCTTCCTGGTCCATCTGTCTCACAGAGAGGGTGATTATGTAATCTTCTCTCTCTGATTATAAGATCTTTAAGGATTAATAGTAGGTCTGTCTTACTATTTTTTTCTGTAATACGTACCATAATTGTTGCTGTATTGTACATTTAACAGATATTCTCTGAATTGAAGGTTAAATCCAAACCTAGTCATTGGTCCATGATAGTTTATTTAGAGATGGTTGTATTACCTTCCAGTGCTAACTTTATGAGCCTCTGTGAGTGAAGCCAAATGTAAGGGGCTTGATTCCTTATAACAGATATCCTTGAGTCAGTGAATGAACAATAGTAAACAAGAACCTCTGAAATTTGTGGTCACATCTTCTATTCTAAATGCTGAAGCCTTTAACTTCTGTATGGATGTGTTTGTTTCTTTAGCATAACACTGTTAAGGCTTCCTTATTGAAAAGAATTATGAAAATATGTAAACATACATAAAATTTCAGTCATTTCCATATGTCAGCTACCTGAGCTATTATACCAGTTGTCCTACTATATGCTGTATTTCTCTCAGAAAGACAATACTGCTGTTAAACTAAAACCTAATGCTGATGCATGAAAAAGAAACATAATAACTTTTTTTCATATGGGGATCTTAATTTTATAAGCATTTTCTATACTCTACAAAAGCAATTTAAGTTAGCTAATGTAGAGAGAACATACTTCCATCTATTAATAAATACCTCCCACACTCTCGTGATGGAGAATGAGCAGTTAGGAGTGAGGAGCTTATCCTATATAAAAGACTTATTTGCTTAATCCCCAGAATCACAATTTCTTTCCTTCAACCTCCTCTATAATGGAGTACTATATTTACATGGCAGTGAATAGTTAATGACCCTATTATAACATAGGCAGATTCTTACATTCAAAAATTATCCTGTGGCTTTAACCTATCAATAACTTATATTTTCTCCACCAAATTTGAAATCTACATTTTAAAAAGCTTTGTTTTGACAATGTTCAGAATTAACTCTTAGGAGCTGGCATTGTGGCATGGCCGGCTAAGCCTTTGCCTGCAATGCTGGCATCCCATATGGGTGTGGGCAGCTGCTGCACTTCCAGTCCAGCTCTCTGATCATGCAACTGGGAAAACAGCAGATTATGGCCCAAGACCTCAGGCCACCTGAGCCTGGGAGGGAGGCTTGGAAGAAAGTCCTGGCTCCTGGTTTTACTCTGGTGCAGCCCTAGCCATTGCAGTCAATTAATGGAGTAAACCACTGGATGAAAGATTCTCTTTCTCTGTGCCTTCTCCTCTCTCTGTAACTCTGCCTCTAACATAAGAAAAAAATAAGTAAGTCTTAAAAAGGGAAATAGCTCTTTAGAAGTTCTCTGCATCTACACAGAATTGGTAATTTTGTCAGAATTAATTCCAACTGCTCATGACAGTCTTCCTTCTATTGCAACTGCCTTGAGAAGGTTTAAAGTGGAACCTTTTTCACCCTTAAGCATTTGCATGGGCTTCTATAAAAATCATTTTTTCACACTTTGACTCACAATTCTTTATTTTCTGCGGTGGTGTAAAAGACACCATGCAATAGATGTAGCCTTAATTAAAAAACAAATGATTATTTTTACATTCTTGAGTTTGGAATGTTTATAGGCAATTTGATTTTATTTTCTTGTTGGATCTTCACATTCATTTGTGGACATGAATCTGTGTAACAGATTCTGTATAGACAGAACAAATCCACATTTTAAACTTTTTAATTTTGACATAATTATTAGCTTTAGAGTCTTTAATTTATGATAGCTTACAGATTTTATTAGTTAATAATATATGATCTAATTATAGTACCTAATACTGTTGTATATTAGTTTATAGATTACTATATACTAATACTTATGTTAGTATATTTCATAAGTTTATATTAATTTATACTATATTTAGATTAGTTTGTATTCCTTAGATTAAAATGTAATAATATATCCTACCATACTTGATATGTGGTACCTCTTCACAAAATGAGAAACTTCTGTGAAACCATTCATCATGTGATTTACTTGATGATTCACAAGGTACTACTTTAGGCCCGTGCTAATTTGAAAGCATGCCTAAGTTCCAAGGTTTGACTGAAGTTGTTGGATTTGTAAGATCCTAGTTTCCCCACTCAGGCTCCCTTCACAGTAGTTCAAGTCTGAAGGAACTTGGGAGAGGGATATAGACAGTGCAGGGATGCAGTATTTGCAGCTGTCAGAAGTGGAAAGTGCTTGAGGAATTAAGGGTGTCCACCATTAGACTGGGAAATGCACGTGTAATCACATTGTTAGCAGGGGCGTATCTGAGCTCATTCACTAGGAATGCTGTAACAGAGAACCAGGTTGGCTTAAACACATGCATCTATTTTCTCATAGTTCTGGAGGCTACACGTCCAAGGTCAAGATGCCTGCAGGGTTGGATTCTTCTGACATCAAGAGAGAAGGATCTGTTCTAGGCTCCCTGCTTGGCTTTCTTAACCATGTGTTGTCATATCATTCTATGCATGTTTGACTCAAGATTTCCTCTTATAAGGACGTCAGTTATGCAATATGATTACCCCTGTAAAGAACTGCGTTTCAATAAGGCTGTACTCTGAGGTCCCAGGTTTTAGGACTTACTTCAATATGTAAATTATGGGGGTAATGCATTTTAGCCCATAACAAATATCAAAATAATTAAAGTCAGTGATAGCACCTACGTAAAAAAGAGAAAAGAAAGTCATATATGGTAATGAAGTAAGGCAGGACCTATGCAATAGATATAAATAGAGGTGGAATTTTGCAACTCACTTCTGTCTGCATGGTATAGTACAAACTATGTAACCAGATTTGATCCATGCGGCAATCCACCTCAAGTGTAGAGTCCAGGCATTCCCTTGTCTCCTCAGGTTCTTTAATACCTTTTCTCAGACTAGATAAGACAATAATAGGTCTCTCCAAAGGAAAAACAGTATTTAAATGAATTTAATTCCATAAATATCTATGGAGCAACTACCATGTGTAATACCATGTTAGGTCTGAATGATATGACCTCACTGTCCAGTTGTAATGAAAACCAATAGCTTACCTAAAACTTGGTGCTCAATTCCAGCAGCATTAACAATGGAGGGAAAATCACTGCTAGGGACCAGGTTCAAGTTGGCCAAGGTGAGTATTTCCATTTGCCACTACCAGCTGTCCCAGTTTGACAATTCCCAGAGCACTGTGTTGTGGAGCATAATACCGCCATTTACTTTTAGAGATTACTCCACCATCCCCACGTTTTTAGAAAAATAGTACCTAAGCAGGTGGCTTGTCCTGAAATCCTCAGTTCTCCTATAATTGGTTGTTTGCAACTTGGACTTCCTGAGCCTCAAATGCTTCCCTGAAGAACTCTGTAAGATAAGAAGGAGATGATCTATTTGAAAATACACGGAGTTACTTTGTGACACAAAGTTAGTACTCAGGAAATGTAGGTCGAGTGTGAATGTCAGTCAGTGTTTTCTTTTCAGACTAGACTTCCCAAGTCTTGTAAAAAAGATCTTTACTTTTCTCACAACATGATCCATGCTTATATGTGATTCAGAGCTCAATGATAGATGCACAAGCTCCCTCACCCACACAGACCACATATCACTATATGTAAGATAATGTGATGCTTTATAAATTGTCTCAGTCTAGTATTTGCTTATTTCCTAAAGTTATGGAGCAACTAAATCATATATATGACTCATGCTGTATATATATTCTAACTAAATCATATATATGCATGTAAGTGGAAGTTGTGTGTATAAATATGTATATTTTTTATTTTTCTTTAGCAATCAAGATGTGACAAATGTATCTGAGGCGAATTCTTATGTGTCTGAAAATAAGAATGGAAGGTAAAATTTATTATCATTTACTTTCTTTCACATGAGTATGAACATAAATAATGTTGCCTTAAAATATTTCCTGCAGAATTGACCTATATCATGTCAGTTAATTATAAAAACTATTCAAATACACAAAATTATAATACAGGATGCTTAGTAGTTTATAATGAAAAAAACAAGTAATTCCAATTCTGTTAGAATTTTAACATGGGTTTTGCTGCTCTGTTTGTGTGTGTGTGTATGTGTGTGTGTATAAAGCATCATGGAAATTCAAAGCTGTTTTCTTGAGCTGTGAGAGTTTATTTTTACCTACTGTTGCTTGGTAGGTTTTTAGCAGTGCAAAATCCACTCTGGGAATCTCTTCCTTGGAGACCCAGTTCTAAAACAATGCACAAATTCATCACAGCCTTAAAAAAAAGAGCCCAACTTCCAAATCGTTTTTGACACCAAAGTATAAATGCGTTAAAACTGTAATATCTTATTTGTCATTGCAAGCACAATTAGGATAGAAGCTATACTTCATTTTTGTTATAAACTGTTTAAAATAAGAAAAAAACAACTTTTCCATGGTTAGCAATTCTATCTCCTCCTCCTCCCCCACCCTAACATATAAAGGACGCCTTAAAAATAATATTTTTTATCTTATATTTTCTTAATGTACAGCTGTTCTCTGCTCTTGATATAAAGAAATTATATTCTATACAGACAGTGGGAAAGCTGAGTAAAGATCTGGCTTGCTCCCTCTCAATTTCCCTCCCTGCTACTTTCCCCTCCCTGCCACCAAAATCTACAAAAAAAAATCTATTTGTCTAATTCACCAAATAACCTTCTATCTTCTTTTTGTATGTATGTGGTTTTAAGAAAGCCTTTGACAGAATAAGGGAGAATAAATCTCAGTAGGCTCTTGCTTGTGCTGGGAATGTATGTGCTGTTTTGGGATAGGACTGGGCTGGCCATTACTGAATCAGATTCAGTGTTATTTAGAAATGATAGAGGTAAAAAACAATTACAAGTACCTGCTCAGGCACCGTGAAGGCCCTCCCTGTTTATATGATAGAGGGTGCTTCAGTTTGAGATAGGCCTGTTGGTGGACTGTGGTTCAATAAGGGAGATGAATGGGGAAATAGTGCAAGTAGAGTCATATTGAGGGTTGAAGATTCCACGTATGAATTGGCTGGAAATGAAATGTGGTCCATAGCAGTTCTCTTTGACATTCTATACAGTTTATTCTTTTGTTCATAGGATTGATAAACACTCGATTTTTGGTGTTACATGCCTGAAGACTGGGCAAATGCTTTTTAAAGATCCCTGCTCAACTTTGTCCTTTTGCAGCATGTATTTGTTACATTTGTGATTCTGAGAAAACGTTTGGTGGAATGAGGGAGGATAAATTGTCACTGTGTATCTAAATTTCACACCATATATTTGTTTTATTTTAAATATCCAAATATATAAGGAATGATAAACTTAATTTAGAAAGGTTTAAAAGATTCAGGAGATCAGGATTAGAGTAATTGTTTCTAGAATGACAATTTCTAATGCTCATTTTAGAAGTGTCTAATAATACGTGTATCATGACACAGCACCATTTGAACTCATCTGGATAGTTCATGCAATATCTACCTTAAGACCGGAAAATGATTTTTCATATAACTCAGATGATAGGTCAATGTTTGCTTCTGTAAGAGCACTCTGGAACTGAAGCATCTTGCTTGAAAAGGATAAATCGTGATTCTCCTTTAGGTTTTTCCTGTTTCTCCCCTGCCAGATATTACTAACATGGAAGAGGAAAAAATTAAAATTTGCACTCTTCTTTCATAAAAATTTTCCTGTGATCCATAGGAAAAAGCAAATATGTTACCATTTATTAAACATAAAACATTAGTCTAATAGAAACCTGTCAAAGTTTTGTAGTCTGTGAATTACTGCTTTCCATTAAAAAATGAAAGCTGCAGTTTCTCTAGATAACCTCTGCATCACTTTTATTCAGTTGATAAAGTCTTAGATATATTGTACATGAGAGCTTTCTACAATGTTACTGCTGCTGGACAGTGTTACAGGAACCAATCTCAGTTGGTTTTTATCCTTGGTGAAAATGCAGTTTAGGCCAGCCATGTGTAATATGGCCATCCCTACAGATTCTTCTCAAAGCAGTATGGTAGCATCTGTGGAGGGAGTGAAATGAAATGCGTGTGCTATTTGAATCATTTATGCAGAAACCAGAACCAGGTACATTGTATGTAAAATAACCTTAATTGAGGAAAATTTAATAAAAAAAATGTAAGTGGCCTGCATTCAAGGGTTAATTACTTGCATTTGTTTTCAGGCTCAATGGATTCACCAGTGCTGTACACAGCCAGGCGGCAAGGACCATTACTCACCCTTATGAAGCCAGGAACAGTCTCAGGTACTGTGGTCAGTTACAAAACAAATGACAAAACTATGCTCTCCCCTGTCTACCTTTAAAAAAATCTACATCCAACTGGTTCTTTCCTTTGAAATGCAGAAATCACCAATTTTATCTGGATTTATATGTAAATAGCCTTACACATAAGTGTTGAGTTAGCAGCTCTGTCATTGTTGTGACATCTGGATAGATAAGTATAAAAATAAGTTTTTCTTTAAAAGTCTGCAATTTTAAAAGGTTTGATTGTAACACTGGTGCTGACATCTTTTAGGTGGATTAAGTGTCATTAAATCAGATGTAATCATGATGACTGATTAAAGTGAGGAAAGGTGTGGATTGAAAATATGAAGAGAACATCAAAGGAAGAAATCCTAGAACATGTTATACTAAAATATTCAGCGTGCTCTATGAGCTCTGTTATGATCAATTTTCATAATGATGCTATGGCAGTAGCCAAGGCATTCGTGGGCCAAAACAAAATTTTGCAGAAGTGTACTAACTGCTTTAACATTTGTATCACAACAGTTACAGTTCAGAAAGGAGAGACAGCAGTCCTCCCTTTCCTGCAGTGTTACATACCCAAACTCACGCCAGGTCTGCAAATGCCAAGTGGAAAACTTCAGAAATAAATAATTTCTAAATTTTAAATCACATGCCATCCCAGCAAAGGGATGAAATCTTGCACCATCCTGCTGAAACCTACTGGGAATGTGAGTCAACTCTATCCCAGCATATCCATGTTGTACATTGAACTTGCCCATTGGTCATTTTGTAGCCATCTCAATTATCACTTTGAAGTATATTGGTTTCTTTTGCAGCTCCAATGCTGGACCCAGGAATACAGGCTCTAAGGATACTGTTGTGTACACAAGGACCTACGTGGAGAATAGGTACTGGAAATCTATTTTATATATTTTGCCTTATTTTATAATTTTGATATTACCTATATTTAGAAAGCGATGTTATTTTAGGTTATATTTCTTTCAAGAAGATTGTTGAATTCTGAGTATGTCATTTGTTATAATTCTTTTTTAAGCAATAACTAAATAATCATGATTGTTGGATAGACTAAACAATGTTTTAATATAGTCCATATATACTTAGTATAATTTCCATGTGTAGTTTCTCATATAGATGTGTTATAAAACAATACAGATATTCCTGTATCAATTTAAAGTCCCACTTTAATTTGAAATAAGCAGTGTAAATAAGGAGACATTCTGACTCAAATAGAGAGAATTGTGTTCTCATGAAATCTGCTGCTTTGCATAATGGATGTTAAGGAAAATTTCAACTGGTCAAGGACTAATAATCCATTTAGTCTTGAAAGAGTGTGAAAAACGCATGGATTGGCCTAATTGTGCAGTAAGGTAAAAATGGGCACCCAAAGACAGCTGAGTGACCCTGTGCTCGTCAGAGCCCACTTCAAGGAGGCCAGCTATCAAAGGGGAGCACTATTCTGCGTGGAGCAGACACTGAGAGGCTCTGACAAATTCATCAGACTGTTCTTATCCAACATGTGCTCCCCAAATGCCTGCAGCTGCCAGCACTGATGTGGGGCCCCAGTCAGAAGCTGGGAGCTTAATTTAGGTCTTCAGTGAAGGGGACAAGAACCCAACTATTTAGGTCATCACTACGACTTCCAAGAGTCAACATAAGTCGGATGCTCGAATCAGGAGTCCGAGCTGGAATTGAACCCAAGCACTCCAATGTGGGATAGAGATTTTTTTTTTGAAGATTTTATTTATTTTTATTACAAAGTCAGATATACAGAGCGGAGGAGAGACAGGAAGATCTTACGTCGGTTGATTCACTCCCCAAGCAGCCACAATGGCTGGAACTGAGCCAGTCCGAAGCCAGGAGACAGGAGCTTCCTCCAGGCCTCCCATGCAAATGCAGGGTCCCAAAGCTTTGGGCCATCCTCGACTGCTTTCCCAGGCCACAGGCAGGGAGCTGGATGGGAAGTGGGGTCACCGGGATCAGAACCAGCACCCATAATGGATCCCAGCACACTCAAGACGAGAACTTTAACCACTACACTATTGTGCCGGGCTCTGGGATAGAGACCTTAACCGCTAGACTGCATGCCTGCTTTCTTTCTTCCTTTTAATTAAACTAAATGATAAAATATGTCAGAATAAATGTTATTAATTTATTTGTTTTACATTTTAATTAAGATTTAAATTTGAATGAATTTTAAGAGATTCAATGTGATATGTAGATACAGTTCTAAGAATATAATGTTAATCTCTTCCTCCTCCCTTTCTTGTTTCTATTTTAGTTTTTGAGATTGCTTATTTTAAATTTATATTACAATAAAAAGGCTCAATCCATTCAATTATTGTTTATAACCAATGTCTATATTACTACTAAAAGTAAGATCTTTTTGCTTTTATTGTTAAACTTTGTCATTCAGAGTAAGTTTTAAAATAACAGCTAGTTACAAGATCTGAAAACTGTAAGTTGGGAATTACATCAAAATATTTCAATGAAGGCAAGAATCAGATATTTGTAATTGGAATGAAAATAGACAGTCATGTATTCTGTATTTACAGGATACCCTCTCTGACACATGGCTAGCCTGGTGGAATATTCCACCACCCTGTTTTCTTTTGAAAGAAATGTCTCATGGAAACTAATACCAAACTTATTATGACTTTAAAAAATGATCTTTCAGAATCATGGACATTCAATGAAACATTATACTCCTAATTTTATTTTGTCTGTTAGCTAGGTGAATTAAAGATGGCTTGCTTTATGAAAGTACAAGACTAAAACATTTATTTAGCTGTGATGACTATAGCTTATTTAAAAAAAACTCTAGAGTATGTATATGTGGAACAGTTATCTCAAAGGGTGGTCTCTAAGCCAGTATCTTTGGTATCACCTGGGAACTTGTGAGAAATGCAGATTCTTTAACCTCACCCTTGGCATGTTAACCAGAAACTTCAGGTGGGACCAGAAATACGCTTTGCTGAATTCTCCAAATGTTTCTGATGCATATTCAAGTTTAAGAACCGTCAGTTATAAAATGCAGAATCAATGTCATAGTCTATTTAGCCAAAGGTTTGTAGACCAGAAAACTCTATAAGTATTGGTTGCCCACTTCTTTTTCTAACATATCATTTTAACACTTACTGGTTTTTATTTGAAAGGAAACAGAGGGTAGGACTGTGATGTGGTACAAAAGAGGGAGTCTTCTATTAGCTGATTTACTTTTCAGATGGCTGCCATAGCTAGGGCTTCCTGGGTCAGTCCAACGTCAGGGGCCAAGAATTCGATCCAGGTCTGTCTAATGGTTGGCAAGGGACTTAAGTACTTGAGCCATTATCTGCTGCCTTCCAGGCTGTGCATTAGCAAGAAGTTGGATTGGAAGCAGACTCAGTCCCTGGCACTCCAGTATAGAATGTGACTGTCCCAACCATCACCTTAGGTGCTGCATCACAGCAACTTCCACTGCCCACATCAGTTTGGCAAGCATGGCATTGGACGTCAAACTTCCTTATGTTCTTGAAGTCTGCACTGACATACGTTGCAAAATGCGGTGTCATGTCTTGTTTTTCTTTTATTAGTCAGGGAGCCTTGGGAAAGTTACACTTCAAGACATCATAAAATGACAGGGATGACATGCATCTTTCATAAAGATGTACAGACTCAACATTGTGAGGTTTAAGTGTAGCATGAAGGAGATGTTTGTTCTGAGAGTAGTTTTATTTTGATACCAGCCTGTGGACAATTTGGAGGGAGATATTTCTCATTAGAAGTCCCAAATGAGAGCTGTGGCATTCATGTATGAGATGACAGGAACACACAGCTTCCAGTCCCCGCATGTTCCCAGGTAGCGTAAATGCTTGGAAAGCAATTATAAGGAGCCAGATGCCCGGTGCTGTGCAGATTTCATTCATCTCCATGAACAAAAGTGGGGAGGTGAGAGTGTTACAAACTGGGGTACTCTAAGAGATGAAGAAGAGAGAACTTGAAAAAAGTTACTCTCCTTTTGCTTTAGTTATAAATTATTCTTTCTTGAGTATTTTCAAGTTAAAAACAAAAAACTAGAGCTTTCTGTAAAAGTTCAAGGCTCTCTGTTTCTTGCTGCGGATGGCATCTGTGATGTGCTTTCCCTGCTTGAGGTCCATGTGTCATCTTCATCTATTTCAGGCTAAGTATAGTGTGCTTTTAGTGAATAAGGGAGGGACAAGAATATATTTTAAGAAAAATGATGAACTCATTTCCTATGCACTCTTGTTCCCATCCACTTTCCCCAACACTATGTGTTGTAGATATGTCAACCTGGAGGTGGCTTGTGTATCAGTACCTTTGTAGATTTAAAACAATGCAAAGCGGCACTACATCATCCTAGCTTGTAATATGACAAAAGATAAAACACTAAAGTTGTGTGAAGGAGCGTGATTGTGGTTCCTTACCTACAAATTAGTGTTTATATCAAGGGAAATTTGTCTCACTTCATTATGTCCGTCTGTGGTTTTTTTTTTCTAGTAAATCACTGAAGGATGGATATCATGAGACTATCTCTGGAAAATACATACAGACTGTTTATTCAACTTCAGATAGGTGAGTATGTTTATGTCTCTATATTTAGAAACATATACAAGTACGTATGTATGCACATACATGAGCATACACACGCATACCTGGATGTTCATGAAGTTCATGGAAACATTCAGATTCTGTTTTTATCCCACTTATCAGGCATTTTGAGTCCCTTGTGTGTGTATTCTTGTTGTCCCTCAGCCTTTATGTTGGGTGAAGGCTCTCTTGACGCTAATTGTTCTATCTGCTCATGAACAGAGGAAGCCACAGCATGCTCACGATAACTACTGCACCCAGGAATGTGTTTCTTGGCAACCTGGCTCTTTCTGTTCTCTGATCATAATGCACATTTTCCCAGAAGACTTTCCTGTGCCTGGCAGCTGCCTCTCAGGCCAGCCCTTCTGCTGCAGAGGGATCCCAAGGGGTGCTCCGTTCTGCCATATCATTAGCATCTCAGCTTCATGGCACTGTGAGAATGTGCCCTCAATCCTCCCTCCTTGTTTCAGAGACAGCCGTGTGGATGTGCTGCCATGACCCTCTCTGGACCCAAGGGCAGTTCCCAGGGGCAGGGTTATGATGACGATCAATCTGGCACTGGTGCACTGGCATTGTTTCAGGCTCCTGCTGTTTGCCATTTAATTCTCTTTATCATCTGATGTTCCAGTGGCATAGAGGTGACACCCATGAGTGTATGGCCTGCATATTTCCAGCAGAACAAATGAAAATAACTCCTTAACATCGAAGTCAACCACAGGAAATTACTTGCAATGCAAATGTTTGATATTCTATAGATGGTATTTCTCTATAGGAAGAGAGTAGAAATATGATTCCTTGAGAAGAAGGTCATATAGTTATGTGTAACGTCAGCTTCTTATGCAGTGTTTGGCACCCAAATAGCACTAGGTACAAATTTTCTGTAAACATGATTGAAAGGGGGATTTTGTTTTTAACGATTTACTTATTTTTGCTGGAAAGGCAGATTTATGAAGAGAAAGAGACAAAGGTCTTCTATCTATTGTTTCACTCCCCAAGTGGCCCAATGACTGGAGCTGAGCCAATCCGAAGCCAAGAACCAGGAGCTTCCTCTAGGTCTCCTAAGTGGGTACAGGGTCCCAAGGATTTGGGCCATCCTCTACTGTGTTCCCAGGCCACAAGCAGGGAGTTGGATAGGACATGAACCAGCACCTGTATGAGATTCTGGTGCTTGTGAGGCACTTGCCAAGTCTGAGGCAGAGACTTCCATTTTCCATCTGTTGATTTAGTTAATCCCAGCTGCACCAAGCTTAAGCCAGGAAGCAGTTACTCTAGCTTAATCTCCCATATGGGTGGCAGTGGACCATGTACTTGAGCCATTTGTTGCAGCTTCCTTGGGCACATTAGCAGGCAGCTGGATTGGAAGTGTCACAGATGCTGGCATCACAAGCAGTGTCCTAACCTGGCATGCCAAAACGTTTGCCCCTACTTCTTCTGTTTTTTTTTTAACATTATCATGCCCTCCACCAACACTATCTCAGGAATAAAATAACCTTGACAAGCATTACAATTCTAGACACTTTCTAGCATCAAAGAAAAAGGCTAGGTGCACTATAATGCTTTGAAAAGACATTTGTCCAAGCACATGACCTTTATAAGGCCAGTGCCAACCTCAGAAGTTTGCTTAGATTTGTATTTTATTGTTAATAAAGAGAAATAGTCTCCATGGAAGTATTGCTGCTAATATAAACAATGTAAGCCCTGTTGCTAATGTGGTGCTTGACATTTTTTTAAAAAAATTGAGTGCAAAAGTCAATTCTTCATAAGAGCAAACAGCTATTATTGCTAAGTGTGCAAAATTGGCTGTGTTCCAGTTCTTATCTAAGTGCCTCAATTCTGTTTCAAGTGGCTCCCCAGTTTATAGAATGAAGATAAGCTTCCTTTACTGGAGAACCTGCTCCTGCTGAATATAGGCTGACACAGAACATTTGCTTGGGGTTCTTTCATCATGCCTTGCAGCCCAGCTCTTAGAACCACTCTTGGGAGCTCTTTAGTTTCCAGCTGTAACCCATGTGGCTCTTTTTTTTTTTTTTTTACTTGCAAACCCTGCCTGATTTCACTACATGGGTTGGTTTATCTCCACAGTTGCTCTCCTGACCCTTTGCACATTCCAAAGTGGGGTTGCCATCATGCAGCCACACACCTGGCTTCCCAAGTGGAAAAAGAACTCCATGTCACTGCTGTCTTTATCCCCGGGTCCTATCTCAGAACCTGCAATGGACAGGTTCCGTTAGAACACCTGTTTCCTATGCTTGTAGTCCTAAAGGAGAAATTGATGTGTGAGTGTGCATGTATTTATATTTAGAGACATCAGCAATCTCTAAGAATGTTTGTCAACAAATGAACAGCTTTAGAGTGACTTGAGATAGGAAAATGTTTTATGTTTGTGTTAAGAGGTTACTAAAATGACTTAAAATATAAAATCAGGCAAAGTTTACTCTTTTTCACTTTCATTTTCCCTTCTCTGGTTTTTCTCTTTGGAGTCCATGGGGGAATCACTGCTCTTGGTATGATTACCTCATTTCAATACAGGAAGGACTCTGTAGTCCTCATTGCAGGCCAGGGAGTCCTGGACCATGCTGCCTCCTTTGAAATTCTGACTCTGACACTGACTGACTCTGTGACGGGTGGGAATCACACATCTATTTTTTGTTCTCCTTTTTTGTAAAATGATAAGAAAAATAGTACTAGGGCCTGGCACAGTAGCATAGTGGCTGGAGTCCTCTCCTTACATGTGCCAAGATTCCATGTGAGCACCACTTACTGTCCCGGCGGCCCCTGTTCCCACCCAACTCCCTGTTTAGTGGCCTGAGAGAGCAGTCGAGGATGGCCCAAAGCCTTGGGACCCTGCCCCCACATGGGAGATCCAAAAGAAGCTCCTGGCTCCTGGCTTCAGGTTGGTTCAGCTCTGGCTGTTGTGGCCACTACGGGAGTTAATCGGTCGACGGAAGATCTTTCCCTCTGTCTCTGCTCATCTCTGTATATCTGACTTACCAGTAAAAATAAATAAATCTTAACAGAAATAAAAAGAATAACAGTACTGGCTTTTCAAGGCCATTGTGGAGAATAAATGAGTTGTGTAAGTAAACGGAGAAACGCACTGGCCGCATCAATGACTCTGCAAGGGTTGGCTGTCACACGACTCCTTGGTGGCGCTATCTAGAAATCTGAAGCCTGCATGTGGACGTTCAGAAACTAGTAAGTGCTGAAAACTGTTATTCAAGACAGTTGTAAAAAATTTCAAATCAAAAGAAATCCTTTCCTACGGCTCTGGGAAAATCAAGATGCTCATATTTTAGATTGCTGATCACACCTGCTGTTCATTTATCATTGAGTGGTATTTTTTTCCAAAATAAATAGCAATGTTGTGTTGCCTCCATTAAATTATAGCAGGGTTGTATCTTGCTAGAGAGTTGACATTTTATTGTAAGAGATGCCCTTGCATCGTCAGCCTTGCAGTGCCAGCACGAGGAAGGTTGTGTGATTCTGCATGCAAGAGTCCTGAGTGTTGCAGACCCACCGATTGTGAAGTGATCATTGCACTCTTGAGTGGATTTCTATTTTTAGACCACTGAAGTTTCAGTGTTTTCAGAGTTACAAAATTATGTTCTTCTGAAGTACATTTTCCATATAATTCCTAAGATGATTTATGTAAATTAGTAGCTTCAAGGAGTACTTATGACCTAGTTAAACTTGGAAATAGAACATCTTTGTCCTGCCCAGATGCACTCTTGGTTGCTAATGAATTGATAATTTGAGATTTTTCCTTATGTTACCTCATTGACATCATTTTCTGATAGCAAGAAGCATCTGTTCTATTAATAGAATGTATAAACCCTGAACTTTCCTTGATACTTCTATCATTTCTTAAAGTGTCATTGAATCAACATATCAGCTTCATGTGACTGTTGAGGGACTGCTCCTGTCTTAAAGGATGGCAAGTATATTTGTTCCTTGCTTTTGTCTCTGTAGGTCTGTCATTGAAAGAGACATGTGCACTTACTGTCGCAAACCTTTGGGTATAGAAACGAAAATGATTCTAGATGAGTTACAAATTTGCTGCCATTCTACTTGCTTCAAGGTAAAGATTTGCTTATCATACTTAACCAAATGTCAAATGGTATAATGACAGGAATGAAAATAAGTATTTTATGAAATACATGTCATGGAGTTAAAATTCAGAAACACTGTCAATTACATTGATAATGCAGTACTTAAATATTTCTTATTAGAGTTCGCAGCCTAAAACCTCGAAGATTGGCAATTACTATCTTGGCTTTAGTTTAGAATTGTTTACCGATATATTTATTCATACTTATTCAAGAATTTTAAATCTGCAATGAGGACAAACACATTTTTGAAAGTTTTGGTAATATTTTAATAAATAATGCATTATCTAAAATGTATATTGAAATCTAAACTGAAAGCAAATTATTGATAAGTATTAATATCCTATGGTTAAGAAATTGTAAGTTTCACAATAGTAGAGGCTCAGTATGTTTTGGGAACATGATTAATTATAATATTTTATGGCTTAATAAATAACATGACAGCTGTATTAGAATGCCTCAGTTTTTACCTTCATAGACTCTTTTGTCCTCCTGGAAACACTTGTCAGGTGCACATTACAGCTGGGCATGAGAAGGCCTGAGTGCTAGCTTCGCCTCTGCTCCTTGATGTGGCTGTGTGACCATGGGAAATCACCCGAGTTCTGCTGTCTGACTTTTATGATGAAGTAGTTGTCTAGATCAGTGGTTCTCAACAGGAGCTGCACGTCATAATCATCCACAGATGATTGGAAAAAATGAGAATGCTTTAGATCAGTTACATTAAGAAGCTCCAGGATGGCTCCTGAGTATTAGGATATACAAAGCACCTTAGATTATATGCCTATTCCAGCTAGTTTGAGAACTGTTTGTCTAAATCTATGGGTTCTTTTTAGTGCTGGCATTCTATATTTGCTGCAAACTGAGCCCTTTACGAGACAGGATTCTTTTTTAGAAAACATGTGTTTATGTGCTGGAAATGCAGAGTTACAGAAAGAGAAGGAGAGAGAGAGAGAGAGGCTGAAATGGCCTGTACTGGATGAGGCCGAAGCCAGGAGTATGGAATTCCAGCCGAGTCGCCTACAGAGTTTGCGGGGGGCCAAAGAACCTAGGCTGAATTCTGTGACTTTCCTAAGTATATCAGCAGGGAGTTGGATTGTAATAATGTAGCCAGAGCCCATGCTGATGCCCACTTAGGGTGCTGATGTTAAAGGCAGTGGCTTAATCTACTGTGCCACAATGTTTGCACTGATATTGTGTTACTTGGTTGCTTCTCCTCCACTTACCTTCAGTGACACATAGCAACCCGAAATAGATGGTCCCAGGTTTGGACCCGAAAAATCCAATACAGATTTATATATAAAATGTGACCTTAAGATTGCATAATTATTTAATTTTGGTAGCATGAAATTGTTTTATTGGTTATAACATTTATTCAACTAAACAGATTTACAGCTATTTATTGAAAATTATTATGCAGAAAGCTTTTTAAAGCAAAAAAAATTAATCAGCTATTTCTTTTGGTGAATAAGAGTAATTTTCATTTGTTTGATTTTAAATGATTTGTCTCCAATTCTGTGTAGCAATAGAATATGACTAACTCAAAATGAAAGTGTCCTTCATGTTCCCGGAGAAAGACGGATTGTTCTATAGCCATGGCAGTAGAGAACAACCTGAATCCATATAAATATGTCAAATTGGTCTATGTCAAGTTGCTTCTGAAAGCCAACCAGTCAGTGATGGCTTCGTGCTTGGAAATCAGCCACTCAGCAGTAGGCAAGTCTCAAGCGAGGCCATCACTTTGCTGCTTCAGTAACCAACACGGTTCAAAACAGACTCTACTCACCCCTAAACTGTGTAAGGTCAGCAGTTTCTTTTGCTCAGTGTAGCACATCTAGCGAGCAGAGCTGTCCTTATGTAAGTGAACAATAAATTATCCTTTATCTTGGAGACATTGAGTAAGCTCATCCTTGGTATAACCAATATTTCAAGATTTATATCTACTTTTTTAAATAGAAAACTTCAGTGATATTCCCTGATATGTGTTTCCATGGTTTATAAATGCTGTGGGAATTTATTTTAAAAGGTTGTCACATGGTTTGTAGACAACATTTCTCTAAATTTCCTGATAGCTTGTCTTGAAATTCCATCTGACTATTGCCATGAAAGATGGTCTTGAATTAATTAAAGGGATTTTGAACTGTGTTTTGCTAAGAACGTAGGCTTAATCTGTGATGCTTCCTTTTCAGTGTGAAATATGCAAGAAGCCTTTGGAGAATCTGCAGGCAGGTGACAGTATTTGGATTTATAGACAAACAATCCATTGTGAACCTTGCTACTCTAAAGTTATGGGTAAGTACTGCTAACGTTAACGGACATCTTGTGTAGTCAAAAACAATGTGTTTAAATAAAGTAGAAATGTTTTTATTAATTATGTTAAGTTCAGCATTCAACTGCACATAGTTTATGGCAGTGAATTTTCTACCATGTTGTTTAATAGTATGAATCAAAAACATTTTTGTTAGCTTCCGGTGTTAGAACTGATATAAATACAGCTAGGCAAAGACATCATCTATGTTAGACAATTTTTGTATTTTTACAAACAAAAACAGATGCTTTCTGCTCAATTGTTCAAATTGAAGTCTACTGCTAAGACATGTATTGGAATATATATTTAGCAAAATTTTATTGCTCTGCTACATGCCTTCAAATGTTACTTTAAAATGTAAAGTTTAGAGGTATTTCTATATAATTCTGTATTAAATCTACCAAGTTTTAAAGATTAATTTAAAGCAAATGCTACTATGATTTTGACTAAATTTTAACATAAGTAATGAGAGGAAAAACATTAACATTTTCTATAAATGAAACAGAAGACTTAAAAGTTGATATAAAAGATGTGAACACTACATGATGATTACCAAAGTTAAGTCTTTAAAATGTCTTAATTTTAATTAATACTTAACAGATGCGATTTGATTTGTAGATGTAATTCTAAGGACAGAATGACATTCCTCTCCTCCCTGCTTGTCCACTTCTTACATGAACCCTCCTTCTCTCTTTCGTTTTCTCTAAAAACTTTTGAGATGACATATGAGAAATAAAGTCTTTTTAAAATTTTTTGGGGGGCAAATAAAGTGTTAATGAAGCATGATTGGCTTGGAAAGTCAATATTCAAATTTATTTTTAAATTCAATAGCAAGTAAATAGAATAACCAAAATGACATTGAGGAGATGGTCAATAGCATATTTTGTTTTGCTGATGTCTTGGTGTAGGAAATGAAGGAAGAACATTTGGGATCCCTATATGGGATCCAAAGTATGGCTCTTTTGTGACAAATATGCAATCTTAATGAGTTGCTGGGAGGCTACAGCTGGAAAATGCTCTGAAAAATATTCAGAAACCCACGTTCCATCAGGCTGCAGAATCAATTACAGGAACAAACCTAATTATATTCATACTTTGCTTTCTATTTTCTGCTTTCCCCAGACAGTTCTCAAATTCACTTTTCATTCTCATTTAGCAATCTCCTCACAATTCAGTGTTATAACATAGGTCGTCTTGTGCATGGTGGAAGCTTTAAAACTTCTAGTCACCAGTAATCTGTGAAATGGTTGAGAGTATCAGCACCAATATTGCAAAAGCCTTTGAGGCTTCTGCCTTGCATCCCATAAACATGCAGCTGTGGCATGGGAAGGTTCATATCTTACAGTATAAGCAACTGACATGAATCAGTTTGGGAGTAGAAGGAAAACTGGAATGTTTAATCTACCACAATCCTATGGATAAACTAGTTGCTTATTTAAATATTGGTTATGGGCTTATTTTTATACTAAACTTGCATATCTAACTAATATTTTCTTAATTGTTTCAGCAAAGTGGATTCAATAAATGTGGCATGTGGAAATCAAGAGGAAAAATATTCATCAAGACAGTAAATGTTCAAGGTTTTATTTTGAGAATATGTAATTCAGGAAAGCTTTTACACTAAAGTTTACTCTTATACAAAATGAATGAATCTGTTATTGCATAAATAATCTGATTGCCAGCAATTAGTTCATAAACATAAAAAAGCCATCTTGGCTGGTTTAGTGGTAAAAATTTTGGACGGTTCCAGTTAATAGTGTCAAAATAATGATGCTTCTGAGGCCGGTGTGTAATGTTAACCCTGCCAGGCCCATCCCTGCTCCATCCTTATGTTGTGCTTCAAGATTTCCGTTACAGTAGTTCCTCATTTTCTCTTCTTTACCTCCCATGAGAAGAAATCACAGATGTTATTGACATGATGACAAAAGAAATGCCAGTTAAAATTTTCACATATGATATGGAACAAAGACTTTGAGATTAAAAAGTTGTATGGACTTCAGAAGATAGCTCAATATTTCCTACCCATTTTTTTATAACATGAGGAATATTGGAGAAAATGATTTCTATGGGCTCTTTTTGCTTTTCTAATTTTTTGATTCTGTAACAAGCTTGTGTGTTTATTTGCTAAGCATTAGTTTGTGTGTATATTTGCTAAGCATTCTGAAATGGAACATGGGAGCAATTCAGTCCTACTGTCAGCCTTTGGTTCATCACAGGCTTGATTTCTATGTGTTTTAAAAATCAAATCAACATATTTGTGGGTGATAGGTAAAACTGCATGACATCTATAAATACTTTATATATTATAATTTGGCAAATTTTCTTTGCATGTATTTCAAAATATGGGTATACAAATAATCTATGAGAAATAATGCCTGTGGATTAAAAAGACATGCTCGTTAGCATGTTACTTATATTCATATTACACAGCACTTTGTATTTATAGAAGGTTTGTAAAAATAAATGATCAATCAGCTTGTACAGTGTCTATATCATTTATTAACCTTGATTTTTATCAGTTACAGTGATCACAATTTATTTCATTTTATACTATGCTATTTAGGTTACTTTTAACAATTCAAGTCATGTCTTCTATTTTTTAATGGATCATCTTTTGGGGAAGGAACTGAAAATTCAGTGACCACATGAGAAATGAGTATAATTATTAAAACAGAAATATACTTTATCAGGTATTTTATCAGCTATTTTGTATGTATGAGTGGCAGCTGTTTCTCAAAGGGAGGCCTATTCATGCTGAAATGTGAATTGGCTGCTGGGGAGTTTTAATCAGTTAAACAAAAAACCTGACATAAATTAGGGAGTTTATAGGATGATCATGTATTTTACAAATATTGACAAGGTTAAAGAATCCTGCTCTTGTATAGCAGTTTATCTATCTTTCCCTCTAGGTACTGGCCAACAAAGTGTTAAACAAAAAATGCTTGTCAAAATTCAGCAATGTATAATTGTCCTGTGGAGAGGAAGCCAAGAAAAAAACAATTAATAATAATTTGATATTCATTCATTCATGCTTGATGAGAAAAAGTAGTAATTGAGCCATATGTTTTATTGTTTCTTTATTACATGCTATCAGAGTGAATCAAAAGAAATAATTTTCTTAGGATTGACATTCATTGTAGAATAGAATGGAAGAAATAATATCCCTGTCTTTTATGTGAAATATATTAACATCTCAATGCTTTTATAGTAATTAAAAATTATTTGAATATGATTTTAAAAGTATAAAGAATTTACAGGGAATGCATTTGTCACTTCTCGTTAGCTGTCTAGTGGATCCTCTCCTCTACAATAATATATTAAATCAATCCAAAAGCTGCTGTAAAAATGGAATGTGTGGAGTGGAGAGCGAGAAAGGCTTCCGATTCACCAAGTCCATTTCATTATGTTTGATTTATTCTCACTATTACGTAGTGATTGATATAATTTTCCTAACCACAACTGTCTAAATCTGGGAATCCCTGGTTTAAATTGAAAGATGCTGTATGCAGAAAAGAACAGTAGCGTTATTTATTGTTTTTATCCTTGTAGTTGTCTTCTAGCTCAAATTTTAGGGAGAAAAATGTAAGACTTTACCAAACTTGTCAAAAATTTCTAAAATGCATGCAAATATCTATGAGTTTGATTCTCCCTGCAGTACTCCCACTTAAATCTGGCCTGAAGAGACTGATGCAATAGAAGTTAATACAGCACGCTTCCTACATCACATTTAGCATATTCATATTTTTAGAACATGAAACAATATCATCAATATATCTTCCAAATAAGCTATAATTCCTTAATCATCTCAGATATGCAAGAAGTGCTCACATTCTGAAGTTATGCTATAAATGTTCTTCTATTTAAATTTTTGTTATGATTCCAATGATGTTGATATATTGCATTTGGTTAAAAGGCTCTTTTCTTCTAGTGCACTCACTCTTCACTCCATCTTTGTTTTTTTTCCTCTGTGCAATTTTGTTGTTAATTTTTAGAAGAAGAGGGAAAACGAAGATGGAAGAAGGTGGGGAAAGAAAAAAGAGAAGGAGAAGAGAGCAAAGCATAAAATGAAGCAGATGTTGGGCTACTTTTGCGGTAGAATTTTCTACAGTTTTGGGTTTAATTTTGTTAACTGTGCCTCTCAGCTGCAGTTTTTCTCTCTCGAGATGTGATAACGTTCATGCTTGCTGCTGGTGACGTGTGTAAAGACTGTTCAATAAGTGTTACTGGGTACTTTCATCCGAGGTACATAATGTCTGTCTCCCATTTTGTGATGTTATTTCCTTACCAAATGTGGTGTTCTAGTTATAGTTCTTCTGTTTTCATTTATTAGCCAGAAAATAACCATGAAAGTATGCATGCTCTTATCAGCAATTTGACTGCTGTGTATTTGAATAGAAAAAACAGAGTAAATGCCTTTTGCTTACCAGTTTTTGAAATAATAAAGCCCTAATATTTTCCCAAGATATTATTTATTTAAGTATCATCTTGCACACATGGCTCTAAACATGTTTTATATGTTTCAATCTGTGGCAACAATGATCTTTTTTTGATACTTAAATGATCCCATGTTAAGACTGTGTAAGCTTATTCAAGTTAGCTCTGAAGCCTTTGAACACAAATCCTATTAGTTTTTACAAGAATTTTCAGGTTCATCTTATACATTTTCTAATTTTTCTAATTTAAAAAAAATGTAAGAGGCAAAGTAAAAGAGCATGAGAGGATAAAAGTGAGAGTGAAATGAAAGAGACAGTGAGAGAGCAAGAGTGAGTGAGCGAGTGAGAGAGAGAGAGAGACCAAGAGAACCCTCCCCTATTTGCTGATTCACTTCCAAATGCCTGAGACAGCCAAGTCAGGTGAGGTTGACCCAGGAGCAGGAACACAGCCCGAGTCTCTCCTCCGAATGGTGGCAGCCCAGTTACTGGACTCATTGCCCCTGCCTCCCAGAGTCTGCATTATCAAGGTAAGGGAGTCAGGAGCCAGAACAGGGTATTGAATCTGGTGCTGTGATATATGGAATGCAGGTATTTAAAAAAGCATTTGAACTATTAAACACCTCTCCAGCCTTTCTTATCTTAAAACACAATTTAGACGTTTCCCCTTAAGATAGCGTTTCTTTAATATAAAAGGGTATTTAAAGACAAAAGTCTAACCACTAGCATTACTCATTGTCAATACATTTCAGCATCTCTAGGACACTTCAGTGGAAACTGCCTTTTTGTTTTTTAGCAATGAAAAGGTAAATGAGTTTGCCCTGATGTTCCAATTGAACTCAAGTTAGGACTCCTTCTCCTACACTACTAATACCAGGTTTCAATGACACAAAACTCACACTCACTTGCTTTGTCCCACAGTGTGCACATCACAGCCCAAATCAACCATCTTTGCATCCTTATCAACAATATCTGTCTGATGATTTCTCTGACTCCAATGAAAGTCTACCTAGGAAGTGTAGAATTTGATACCTGGCAATGATGCAGATCATTTTTGGATGTACGGAGACAACCTGCATGTCTTAGTTATGTTTACTTGGTGTTGTTTAAGAGCTTCATAAAGAGGGAACCTTTTAGTGCTTGTGGAACTTCAGCTCAGGAGGATGGTAGTTTGCTTCTCAGAAATTCAGTGTGTTTAAAATGAGCCTAGTTGCCCTTCTGCAGGATGCAGCATTTTACTGGGCTTCAAGAATACAAAACACAATACAAGATGGTCTCTAATGCTCCTCCTTGCTGTGCATCAATTCCAAGACCAGAATCTTGGTGAAGAAACCCTCTCTTCATGGAGCAACATTCACAATGAGTTGGTTTCCCTCCAGGAGAAAGCCGCAGTAGGGGTCAGGCCATACCCGATTACACCACGGTCCTGTCTGGTATCCCTGCACTGTTACCATTGTCACTTTGAAGGACTGAAGGAACAGATGGGAAATTTAAAAGAACAGCTTTGTAAAATTTAAAACAAGTCCAAATGTAAACCTCCCTCATATCTTCCATTCCAGTGTGTTATTTTTTCCTTTTAATATATGACAGAGAAACAACAAGTGTGGTTTCGAGCTGCTTATTTTAAAGGTATCATTTATCGCAGGTTTGAAGAATCTCTTAGGATCCTGTGTAATGAGGTTTGTGCTTCTCAGCCAGTGCCTCATTTCTGCCTGCTTTCCCTAACTGAAGGCCAGTGTGAGGAACCCAGGGCCAGAAGGGCGGGGGAGATGTCTGCTGAGAACGTTCTTGAGGCTGCTTCTCCTAGTGGATAGGATGCCTCAAATCACCGTACTGACATGACTGTGAACATCTAATCTTTCTTAAATGAGAAAAAATGTCTCCTGAAATTTATCTTTTGGCCTTTGTATAAGATGCAGGAGTAAAAACTGTTGCATCCAAGTCCCCCCTCTCCTTTTTTTGATCAGGGACAGTATATGATGATTGAACAGCACACAGCATAAAGTGCATTGGAAGCTGATGTGGAAGCAGAGTTATGCTGCACTGCTTAGTATCTTTTAAAAGAAGACAATGGGCCTGGCATGATGATTTAGTGCGTAAATCTTTGCCTTGTATGTACCAGGATCCCATATGGGCACAGGTTCATGTCCTGGCTGCTCCACTTAACCATCCAGCTTCCTGCATATGGCCTGGGAAAGCAATAGAGGATGGCCCAAATCCTTGGGACCCTGCACTCATCTGGGAGACCCAGAAAAAGTGCCTGGCTCCTGGCTCCTGGCTTTGGATTGGCTCAGTTCCAGTTGTGGTTGCTTGGGGAGTGAATCAGGAAGATCTTTCTCTGTCTCTCCTTCTCTCTGGAGATCTGATTTTCCAATAAAAATAAAGAAAATTTTTAAATAAAAAATATAACCACAGATTCTAGCCTTTTCTGTCATCATGTATATTCCAAGCTCAGATGTAACATCATAACGCTTCTATAGGAGAAAAAACTTAGATAGTATAATTGTCTCTACAGATCAGAAACTGTGAGGGAACACCGCCCCTGGATGTTCTCTGGGTTGACAGCAGCCAGCTCCCAGGAAGGACCAGGCTGAGCAAGGGGTGCAGTGCTGAGTCACTCTCTCCCTCCTTTCTTTACCCAGCCCCAGGAAGAGATAGAAAAGATGGTGCTGCCAGTTGAGTCTCAGAGCTACAGGCTGTAAGGGCCAGGGTGCCAAGGCACAGATTCAACCTTCAAGAACAAGACTGGCCAACAGCCTGTAGCCTTAAACGTTTCTGAACTTTAAAGTGGAGTAGGAGCCATTAAAAAATACAGCTTTTGGAGTGTGGGTCTTCATGATTATTATTTTTAAAGAGATTTATTTATTCATTTATTTCAAAAGTAGAGTTACATGAGAGAGGAGAGACAGAGTGAGGGTGGGAAAGAGATGGATCCTCCAGCCACTGGTTCACTCCCCAAATGGCCGCAATGGCCAGGTAAGCCTGTGCAAAGCCAGGAAGCAGGAGTTGTTTCTGGCATGTAGGTGCAGGAGCCCAAAC